TGTACCACCAGGAGTGGCTTTTTTTTTTTTTTTTTCCGATGGGTTCTGGAAATGAAACTTGGATCCTTATGTTTTCATGGCAAGTACATTACTAACTGAACTGTCTCCTTAGCGCTCATTGTGGTTCTAATTTGCATTCCCATTGTGGTTAATGTGTTAGACTTTAATTGATATGACTAAATGCCAGAAAGTAACCGTTTTAAGGAGGAAAGATTTGTGTTGGTTCACAGATTTAGAAGTGTTGGCAGAAACATGACAGTAGATAGCCTGGGAGAGAAAAATCGTTCCCATTATGGAGGACAAGAAACAAAGAGAAGAAATAGGAAGGACATGGTCCCTTTCCCCAATGACCATAATACATCTAGGAATATTCTCCTATCTCATAAAGTTTCCAATTACCATGAGTAGTCCCATCAACTAGCTATGAAGTTTCTAGCAAATGACTCTTTGGGGGATTACATTTCATATTCATACTTATTATAGCCATCAATATTGAACATTTTTTTATTTACTATTTTTCTTATCTTTCCTAAACCATGTTTTCTTTTTTGGGGGGGTGGGGGGTTCTCTGTAACTCTTGACTTGGAACTCACTCTGCAGACCAGGCTGGCCTCAGTCAAATTCACAGAGACCTGCCTGTCTTCCGCCTCCTGAGAGCTGGCATTAAAGGCAGGCATCATCACACCCAGCACATTTTTCCTCCACCCCTCCCCCAAGGTTTTGTTAGGTGTTTTTTTGGTTTTGTTTTGTTTTTTAAAATATACTCTAGGTCTTACTGTTGTGCTTGTAGTTTGCTGATTTCTCAAGTTTTTGTTTGTTTGTTTGTTTTGACATTGATTTGTTGGGCCAAAAATACAATTTTAGTGAATAGTAAGTGACTATTTAACCACTTTTTAAACTTAACAGTGTTGTGTTTTTTTTTTTTTTTCCTAAATTTATGTTTTCTTGTTTGTTAGGGGAGGGTGCACACATTCCGTAGAGATCAGAGGACAATTTGTAGTCATCAGTTTTTCTTCAGTTTACCATGTGGGTCTCCGGGGTCAGATTCAGATTGTCAGGCTTGGTGCCAAACAGAATTTTATGTGTACAAAATACCTTGCCTAGGGTTTGGATAGTAGCTAGTGTTAAACCTGTACATAAGTTGGTAGAATCAGCATCTTAACTATGTTTTTCTAGCCAGTGAATCTTCTCTCCCAATTCATTCTATTTTAGTTGATAGAACAAATATATTTTAGGTTCTCCTTGAATATTAGGGAATATGTTTGAAAAGATACAATGGATGATAGAGAATGTTGGTTTGGTAACAAAGTCTGTGAGTTAAATGTGAACAAAGGGAAAATGTTATGGAAACCTATAAGAGTTAAATCAGTATTTTCTTGTAATAATTAACGGCCTGATAGTGTTACTTGGATTCTTGCTCTTAAATTTTACAATCTTTGTCAACAGGTTTACTCAGATTTTATTAACCTGTGTTTGTACTTGAGTTTTGTTTATGTTCTTAACCTCTGGTGAAAATTCCCTTTACTCCCCTTTTCTGTGAACTGGTTTTGGGAGTTCTCCATGAAGACCCAGATCAAATCAGATTTATCGTTTCTCTAAGACAGTCTATAGTGTTTAATTGTGTGTCATCACTACTAGAAACATTTTCTTTGAAACCTGAGTTTCATCTTTTTGTCAGGAAAGCCTTTTTTGTGAATTGGTAGACTAGAGAGCATCCCAAAGCCTTTTTTGTTTGTTTTGTTCCTTTTGCTATCTGTCTTTATGTGCACATCCCTTCAGAATGTTACTCCTAAAGGAGTCCTTCTGACTGCCTTCTAGCTGCTGAGCCCCAGCCCAGCTTTATGTCTCTTCATTACGTGTATGGTATGTACTAGGCTTAGACTTGTTTATCTGACTTCATGTAGGACACAGGCTTGAGTCGGCTTCTCAGAGTTTCTTGGACTGCTGTGACAGAATACCTGATAGAAACAACCTAAGGAGATAGGGAAACAGGTATTTTAACCCACAGTTTGAGAGGATTTGGTTTGTCTTTGGACTAGACATAATGATAACAGAAACTTGTGGCAGAAGAGCTGTTTACTTCATGGCAGAGAAGCAGCATGGAATACAGCAAGAGGATTGGGCAAGATAATCACCTCAGTGACTTGCCCCCATGTCCTGCTTCCTCCAGATAGTTACCTTCTACTAATAATGACCTATCACTATAAATTCCACTAATTAGATAGAGGTCTCATGTTCTAATTATCTCTGGAATGCCTACTATAGACACACCCAGAAATGTGCTTTATTAATTCCTTAGGTGCTCCTTAATCCAATGAAGTTGATAATCAATAGTCACCATAACATTTATGTTTAATTAGTATTAGTGGAGGGGAAAAAAAAGATAAAAAAGGTTTTGTATTTATATATTAGTATGTTAAAAATATTTTCATCATATGCTTATGTGAATTGCCATTTCTTCTTCTTCTCTTTTCCTTTTATTTATTACAGTTAACAAACTTTAAAATTTTACTAATTTTTCTCTAGTATAGAACAACACCATTCTAAGATTACCCCTTTATAAAATGATACCATACTGTGATTGTTAAAACTTTTTTGGCTGGTCTGTGGCGGTGCATGCCATTTATCCCAGCACTTAGGAGGCAGAGACAGGAGGATCTCAGTGAGTTCAAGACCAGCCTGGTCTACAGAGTAGCCAGGACAGCCAGGGCTACACAGAAAAAACCCTGTCTCAAAAACCAAAAACATGGTGTCAATCTGAGTAATGTAACAAGGGAAGAAATGTGAAACCAAGAAAAAGAAACAGCAACTGATAACCTGGAGGTTGTCTCTTAAGAGATTGAAGATAGCTCCCTTGAAGGGGAGTGGGTAACAGTACAGTAAAATCTTCATTGTGGAACTTAAGTTTTGGTATTCATAAGGTGAGTGACATTCATGGGGCAAAGTAGTCCTTTTTTCCTTACCCATTCATGGTGTGGAATGGCTTTCCCTTTTAGGATTTTTCTTCCGAAGATCCTGTGGAAAACCCCACATGAAAGTGGTAAGGGTAAAGTCAGTTCCACAAAGTAAATGATATTATAATTAAGCTGGGGCTTTTGAGAGAGTAGACCCTTTATTAGTGTATATGTGTGGGGAAAATGCCCAGGAGGATTACTCTGACACAGTGGGAATAACCTATTTGAAGCCTTAAGGACATTTCAACACAAAAAGCATTCTGGCTGGCAGCAGGGACGGCTATAGAGCAAGAGTGGTAATTCTTGGTTATTTCAAAAGCTCCTTTCTCAGTGAATGCATGAAGTGCCATGGCTGATGTTGATCATTGTCATTTAAGACATTTTGTTGTCCTAAGGTTAATATTTTGCATTTTTTAAAAATTGAGGCTTTAATATGAAAGATGGGACAGAGTTTGATTGTAACTTGTTAGGCTATACAATCAGGAATAGGGCTTTGGCTATCTAGTAATACTTACTTCATCTAGCACCACTCATCTCTATTTTCTTCAGCATAAGACACTCATACTTTGTGGTCACACACATAAGAGAAAATCTAGTTATTCATAGACATTGTAACTTAGTTTTCTTAAAAATTTAGAAGAGATGGCCCCTATCACAGGGGCTGATAAACAACTGTTTATGGGAAATAGGCTAGTTCTATATGACATGGACTCAGATCAAGCTCACACATCAGGTACACTACACATAATAACAAAAATTTAAATGATATTTCTTATTCATTTTTCACATAGGTGGACTTTTTTGCCTTTGCTATAATTTTAGGTAACTGGATAATATTAACTAATGAATAACTTTTAAATAAATAGTTTTAAAACATGTAAAAATTTTTATTAAGCTTTCACAAGAGGCAAATATATTAACAAGCCCTATAATGAGTCTATTTATAGTAAACATAAGTAATTATCTAAATCTTCCATATACCCCTCTGAAGTAGTTTATGAATTAAAGCCTGGAAAGTAAGCCATGAGTTTATAGTTGTTAATTTTTTGATGTTCTTATTAATACAGTATTTGTCTTCTCTCTGTCAAACCCTGAACCAAGCTCTTTCTCCAGACTTGCTGGGGAGATATGGGAAAAGGAACATAAAGGGCAAGTGGGATATGAAAGAACTATGGGCCGTGGAAATGGAGACAGCCCTTTCACACGGGGAAGAAAATGAGGACGGCCACTGTTAGGCAAAAGAGTTCCATAGCCTCTGAGAGGCAAAGGCTAGAATTGTGTAGAAAAGCTGTTGCTTAAGAGAAGAGTTCCTGGCATAGCCAGTGATGAGGCTCCCCAAAACAGTTCCAGCCCCAGAGCCAGCCACCCCAACTATAGCAGCAAACTGGGGCAGCCCCCACTCCAATAAACTTGGTGGCTGTGCCGATGTCTCTTGAAATGGAGCTGGTTTGAAAGCTGCAGCTATGGATAGTAAAGTCAGAGGATACTAGACTGCCAAGCTGCTGAGACCCTTATGTCAATGCCTGTGGTTGGTTCAACTTCACTTCAGATTGCAGACACCTCAGCAGCTGAGAGGTGCTGCTGATGAAGGAGCAGGTAGAGACGAACTTGGAGCAGGCACACATTTTCAGGGGTGAGGAGTCAAGGCAGAGGAGCTGCTCCCAGGGAAAAGAAGACAGAAAGGGCGGTGCTAGTTAGTTTTTTAAAAACATGAACTCTTAGTATAAAAAATGCTAGATGTTTTAAAAAGTTTTAAACATTTGCTTTATTAGTATTTGGTTCCTGTTTGGTCTGCTAGATGTCATTTAGCAGTAGATGTTTTTGTTTTGGTGTCTCTTAGAGCCAGAAGAAATATCAAACACTCTGTTATTTTATCTCCCAGCTTTAGTAAATGACAATATAGCCAAGGAGAAAGTGACCTAGCAATGTTCTACAAATCAGTTCTATTTAAGAGATTGTCAACCTAACATTCTGCTGCCTTGTACATTAAACTGTTAATGTATTTTAATACTTGGGTTATTTTTTTGTTTGTTTTTGTTTTTACAGATCCTTCTGCTGAGGAATTGAGAAATCTAATGATGTTGCATGGAGGTCAATACCATGTGTATTATTCTAGATCCAAAACAACACACATTATTGCTACAAACCTTCCTAATGCCAAAATTAAAGAATTAAAGGGGGAAAAAGTAATTCGACCAGAATGGATTGTGGAAAGGTAAGTTTAACTTTTGGATAAATTTTAGTTTCTCCAGTTAATTTTTTAAAAATTGTATTGCTTTTTATTTCTGTTGTAAAATTGGCCCTACCTCTTAAAGGCTCTACCTTTGCATGGCTATCTGCTAAGTCTAAACACATGGTACTCTTTGGAGGGCATTTTAAATAAAAACAATGTAGCAAATAGTGTTGCAGCCTCAGCTGTCAGAAAGCAGAGGAGAATACAAACAAGCTGCAGGAAGCAGTTATAAGCAGGACTTGACTAGGGTGTATTATCTGTTTAATAAACATTTATGTACTTAGGTGCTAAGTAGAGTTGTTTGTACCTGGGAAGTAGTACTTAACAAAAATTCTTTCACTATGTCATGAAGTTTTCATTCTCTTGGGAGAGACAAAAGAGTCAGTTTCTTACAGACTAAATTGTATTTTTTTTATTGTATGTTTATGTTGGTTAATGTTTGTTAGCTTGACACAGACTAGTCATTTGGGGACAGGGAACTTCAGGGAATTCTCTCCATCAGACTGGCAATAGGCAAATCTGGAACATTTTCTTATTAATGATTTGTGGGATGGTTCAGTCTAGTGTGACCTTGTTGCTCATGGGAAGTGCTCCTGGGATGTGTAACAAAGCCAGCCATTGAGTAACATTTCTGTGTGGCCTCTGCTTCAATTCCTGCTTCCAGGTTTCTGTCTTGAATTCCTGCCCTGACTTAACTTCATGATGGACTGTAAGATGAAATAACCCTGTCCTCCTCCAAATTGCTTCAGGTCATGGTGTTTCTTAGAGCAGTGGAGAGCAAACTAAGTAGTAAATGGCTTTAAAAAACAAACAAACAAACAAACAAAACCCTTACTCTGGTAATATAGCAGGCTAATGTGGACAAGATTTTTGAGAGTAGGATCAAGAGAGAAGAGTTTGCAGTACTGTTACTTTGTTTAGTTTAGAAGTACTAAAAACAAAAAAGTAGATCCTAGGCCACTGTCCAGGATGTACACTGAACTACAACCCTTGGCCTCTTTTCAAAAATTTTCTATTAGTTTTTGAGTTAGAGTCTTAGTAACCCAGGCTGACCTTGTACTCATCTCAATCCTCCTATATCAGTCTCTTGTGTACGGGGAATTATTACATTTAGCTCGTTAGTTTTTCATGATCACACTGTCCTATCTCTGCTATTAGTTTAAAAATATAAAATGTAACTAGTGAGCCAATTTAGTTACCATTTTATAATTTAAAATATGTTTTCTGGTACTTTGGTGAACCAAAACATAAATTATATGATATATACATATATATCATACATGTATATATACATATATATCATAATTTAAAAATATATAAATTTATAAGTGAATTAATAATACTAAAAATCATAATTTTACACATGGATAAATTACAATCTGTATTATGAAGTGCTTAAAAGATGGCTCGGGGCTGGGCGTTGGTGGTGCACGCCTTTAATCCCAGCAGGTGGATCTCTGTGAGTTGGAGGCCAGCCTGGTCTCCAGAGCCAGTGCCAGGTTAGGCTTCAAAGCTACACAGAGAAACCATGGCTTGAAAAACCAAAAAAAAAAAAAAAAGATGGCTCAGTAATATGCTTGCAGCAGACGTGTGAAGACCTTCATTCATGTATTCAAAACCCATGTAAAGTCATATCCGTAGCACACATTTGTAATTACAGTGCTCCTATAAGGAGATGGAAGGCAGAGAATGGAAATACTGAGAAGCTCTTGGGCCAGCCAGTTTTATGTATACACAAGCAGCATATGAAGAGACCCTGCCTTAAAGAAGATGGAAAGTGAGGACTAAATACCTCAGACTGCTGCTGTGACAACAGGAATGCTTGCATACATGCCCGTGCGCGCGCGCGCGCGCGCACACACACACACACACACACACACACACACACACACACACACACACACACAATATTTCAGTAAGAACATAGTCAAATTGTATAATGGAGTGTTAATGAAGCAAGCTTAGAAACTACCTATGTCAATTGTTCTCTCTCTCTCTCTCTCTCTCTCTCTCTCTCTCTCTCTCTCTGTGTGTGTGTGTGTGTGTGTGTGTGTGTGTGTGTGTGTGGCTGAATAAATTTATGTTCACTATGTGCTTGCAGGTGCCCCCTGGAGGCCAAAAAAGGGCATTAGATCCTCTGATCCTCTGCAAGAGTAATATATGCTCTTAACCACCAAGCCATCTCCAGGCTCCAGTTCCTTTTACTTCCTCTTTTGTAAAAGAATGTGGGTGCCAGAGAGTTGGTTTGGCAGATAAAGTCACTCATTGCCAAGTCAAGGACCTGAGTTTGGTCCCTGTGGATTTACATGGTAGAAGGCAAGAGCTGACTCCTGCAAGTTGTTCTTTGACCTTTATGCCTACACACACACACACTTTTTCTCTTTTCTAATAAATGTAAAAAGCTGATGTTATTTATGTCTTTTGTGGTTATGTGAAAACTAGAAATCATTTGTGCAGATTAAGCATAATGTTGGGCATGTTGCAAAGCACACTAAACAAGAAACTACTGTCATTGGCTTTTATTCAATAAACCTTAATTAGTATTTAAATTCTAAAAGTTCAAAAATGCTTTTACTAGTAGAAAGTGAGACATATCTAGCAGATTAAAGTCTAAAGTCTATAAATGTTGGTAAGTAGTGAAGGCCCATCCCTAGACCATCCCACTAATTCCTTCTCTTGTACTGTGTTCTGTTATGTAGACTTGAAAATTGTGGCTGTTAGCCATGTGTCTCCTTATATAACTTATAAAAAGTTCTCAGGGTAAGAAGTTAGCTTTGCTCTAGTGAAGAAATGTGTTGTCACTGACAGTTCTGTTGTTGCATGGCTAGAATTTGGATCTGAGTTTGTAATACTTTCATTTCAAAAGATCGAGGGAAACTTGATAGTAAGAAACATAGAAGAGATGGCTCTTGCTGAGTTGGACTTTATCTGCTTACAATATTTTTCATTATTATGGCTATTCTTCTCACCAGCCCTTGCAGAATACAGCTAAGAAGATACCACAATAGGTAAAGCAGCTGAGATGTTATACATTTTAAAACAGGGCTTTATTAAACGAGTATAAGTAACTTAGATTGCCTATTGGCCTCATTTCTGGATGAGAAAATAAAGTCAATTTTGACTGGTTTGCCCAAGAAATAGAGCTAGATTTAGAATTAAAATTTTTTGACTCCTGTGTGTTTAATCTGGGATTGGTATAGAGGAATAGACACAGGTGTAACTGGGTCATTACTCATAGACATGTTGATTTCAGCAGCATTTGAATGAGATTTTTGTTATACATATTTGTTATTTATAGCTAGTAAATACCATTCTGTAATTGGTTTTTCTCTTTAACTTGGAGCAGTTTTAAAAGTGTTTATAGAGTGTTGCTTTCATTAGAATCCCCTAAGTGTGCCACTAAACCTGAACTAAAATAGGCATGATTATAATGCCTTGACTTCCAAGAGGCAGGGGAGTCCTTTAATGAGAAGTCTGTGTACATTAAAGTATAACTTTTTTTTTTCACTGAAATATTTGTCTGGCTGTTTCCATGAGACAATTTTTTTCTTCTTTATTTATTTATTTTTAAAGATTTTATTTATTTATTATGTATACAACATTCTGCTTCCATGTATATCTGCACACCAGAAGAGAGCACCAGATCTTATAACGGATGGTTGTGAGCCACCATGTGGTTGCTGGGAATTGAACTAAGGACCTCTGGTTAAGAGCAGTCGGTGCTCTTAATTTCTGAGTCATCACTCCAGCCCCTCCATGAGACAAATTTAATGTGAACTTTGAAAGATAGTTTAGAGATGCTCTTATGATACCATCCTACTGGCCCATGTGCCATGGGAGCATAATTCAGAAATTTTGTCATAAGTTTTTATTGATTGCATTTGGTTTTCTTAGGTAGGATCTTGGTATTCAATTTGGTACCATGGGAATCGGTCTTCCATGGTTAAGTTCATACATAGATTGGATGTGAGTGGAGATAGGTGAAGGTGCTGTTTGGTTTGTTACAAGTTATGCCCAACTCACAAATTTGCTAGCAGGACTGATTCCTAAGGTTTATCCTTTTTCTCCCGTAAATGTCCAAACACTACTACACTAGCTTATTAATAATATACTCGTAATGTAGATTTTATACTTGACATGGACTAAAACTTGGGCTTCCAACTATATTTCAGTTAAACTGGCTGATGTAAGTTTCAGGAGTCATGTCTCTGCTTTCTTAGAACCAGGATTATAAATGGCATCACCACAACTGACTTTCTGTGGGTGCTTGAGATCCAACTCAAGTCCTCACTTAAGACTGTCCCAATCTCCCTGGCTAGAATAAAAAAGCAAACTTTAAAAAAATACACTTTTATATGATGTTTCTGCCCATATACATGAAGATTAATTAATAGATAAGCAGGGATAATTGAGTGTACAGTGATATAATATGGTTTGGGTGTCACATTATAAAGATTTTTTTTGGCTAACATTACTATGTACTATTGTGCTCTGGGCTTTAATTCCTTTTACTAGTCATCTCTTAAGGATTTGTGACTTGAAAGAGACCTGCAGTAGTATTTCATTTGTCTGTCTTGTGTTCTGACACTGTGTGAACTTAAAAGACTAATTCTGCTGGGCCACATAGGAGTTGAATGAGGTTTTAGACACTTGAGTGCTCAGTGTTGACCCTAGAATCTGTGTCACCCTGCCTGCTATCATTAGATCATTAAGGTAGAGAGTAAGCACAAGATTAGGACATTTTATTTGTTGGGGTTTTTGTTGTCGTTGTTTTCTTTTGTTTTTGCCTGTTGGTTTTACTTAAGATGTGCAAATGCTGTACATGGGTGTGATTTCGTGCTGTCCCTTCCTTATCATCCATGATGAAAAGGGTAGAGAATTACAGTGGATTCCATTGATGTATTGGGTGTCTCTGCTTGAGGATGCAGGGAGCAGGTGAGTTACCATGAATAAAACTATAACAGGGTAAATCCATAGTTTAGCAGTTAAGATCATAAATTTTAAAAGGGGGAAATTGATTTGATAAAGAACAAAATGATAGCCATGTAGTGGTGGTATATGCCTTTAATCCCATCACTTGGGAGGCAGATGGCAGTGGATTTCTGAATTTGAGGCCAGCCTGTTCTACAAAGTGAGTTCCAGGACAGTCAGGATTGTTAACACAGAGAAACTCTTTTTCTAAAAAACAAAAACAAAAACAAACCAAATAAATAAATGTCTGCCCTCAGGATTTTTGGTTCTGGTATTGTAATGTTAAGTTGTAATTTTGGTATAGTTTGATAATCCATTTAGTTAAATGAAAATTAAAATATTTTATGGTTTGTATGTTCTTTATTGTTGTGATTTAGTACTTTTTGCACTTGGATATAGTGTAGGTATGTTCAGTAGGATTATTAAATGTATCCCAATATAATTACACAAAGGACGAAGACTGTAAAATTAAGTTTCATTTTTTTAGAGTGTGTTATGAGGGTGATCGTTCCCTTTGTTATAATTGTTGAATCATGTTTTAAAAATTGGTTGTCTATAAAACAATTATTTCCCAGTTTCTCCTCACTCCCTCTCTCCCTCCCTCTCTTTCCCTTTCTTTCAAGCTATGTGGAAGATAGAAGAAAATTTTTAAGAAAATAAAAATGTTTAGACTTTGTTTCATGTGGCAAAAGTTTATTTAGGTTTCCTAAATAATTTTAAAAGGAATTTAAATAATTTAAAAGAAATAATTTTTAGTATGTATTTTGGTTTGTAAACCAGAGACTTACTTAAAAAAAAAAATACACTGAGCTGAAGTGATGTCTTGTGTAATAAGGCTCTTGCCACCATGTCTGAATTTGATCCCATGACTACTTGGTGGAAGATCAGAACATGACTCAACATAAATTTGTCCTTGGACTTCCACTGAGCTTGTTAGTCTCAGTCTGTCTCTGTGTCCCTCCCTCCTCCCCTTCATATGTGATTTAAAAATGAAAAGAAAAACATTTCCTAATTCTTAGAGTTCCACTTGTTTTAAAATATGGTTATTTGCCTTAACATTTTTAGTCAATTATCTGAAATTTCAAAGTGAAATGACACTTTTAAAGATAGATAGTAGCCACTTTAACTCATAATTTACTAGCAAGCAAAAATTTAAGATAGCTTAATGAAGATAGATAGGGTGTCATATAACTGTAGTTCCAACACTTGGGAGGTAGAGGCAGGAAGATCATGAGTTCAAGGCCAACCTGAACTACATGGGACTCTTGCTGCTTCAAGTAACAGATTCGTGTTAGCTTTGAAGCATAAAAGGAGTGTGCCAGTATCACTCAATATTGAAGTACTAGAGTTCACTTAGATTGTAGTCGGTATTTGACTGTAATGAACATTTGGAGTTAAACATGTTTCTGTAAGCCTAGAGATCATACCAAAAAAATTTCTTTTCTCTTACAACTCTGGTACACAAAAAATTATAAATTAATCATTTTAATATTGAAATTCTTTATTTTGTCCTGTAATTCTTTTAATTTTAGTTTTTACTTTTAATGTATCTAGTATATATTAAAACCACTGAAAGAGGAGAAGAAATAAACTAGGAAACAGATTACCTCTTGCTGATGAAATCCTTGTACTTTTGCTTTTCTTGAAATTCATTTTCACCCATTCTGAAACTGATTGGTGTTGCCTTTTTGTTTCAGCATCAAAGCTGGGAGACTCTTGTCCTACATTCCGTATCAGCTATACACCAAGCCATCCAGTGCACAAAAGAGTCTCAACTTCAATCCTGTATGCAAACCTGAGGATCCTGTACCAGGTCCAAGCAATATAGCCAGACATCTCAACAACAGGGTGTAAGTTTGTGTAAAAATGATTTTAGCAGTGAGTATAGTCCCTGTTCTACAGAAGATAAAATCAAAATACTTTACAAGATGGGCATTCATCTTTAATAAACATTAAAATATGTGCCGGGCTATCTTTCCTATAAATTAACCAGTTTTATAGTAAAGTTTCAGAAGTACATTGCAAGTTTTTCTGATTATACTAGATTCTCTTCTTAGTAGTTCTCTTCATTTTTTGTGAATTTTCATGAAGATAAGTATTTCCACTGGGCATTGGTGTCACATGCCTTTAATCCCAGCACTTGAGAGACAGAGGCAGGCAGATCTCTGTGAGTTCGAGGCCAGCCTGGTCTACAGAGTGAGTTTCAGGACAGGCTCCAAAACTATACAGAGAAAACCTGTCTTGAAAAAAAAAAAAAGAAAGAAAGAAAGAAAGAAAATACTTATTTTCTCATAAGCAATTTTCTGTATATTGGTACTTTCTCAAAAAACAAACTTTACTTATGATCCATACATAGAAAAATAATGAAAATGCTTACATTTTCAGGTTACTTTTGAAAAATTACACATTTGTAATTTTAAGTGTGTAAATATATGGCTGTTGACTTTCAGTTATAAATATGGAATGAATCTAGACTTTATTATGTGGTTTAAGAAGTAGATATTCATTTAAGTTTTAATTGCACCAATCCTGAGTTAATTGGTTTCACAGTTAAAGTGGTGTGTTGCCTTAACTGCTGGTACATCAAGTGGTTCATTATTCACTAGCCTTCTCTTTTGTTATTAAATTGCTTGCATTGGGAGTTGGATATATTTTTTCCAAAAGATAGGGTATCTAACCTGGGAGGATCCAGTATCACTGCCTTCTGTAATTTTTTTGTCTTGTCACTTGTTATTTAACTAATACTTATTTAGAACTCTAACACCAATTTTTGTTGTTGTTGTTGTTGTTTTCAAGACTGGTTTCTCTGTATTGTTTTGGAGCCTGTCTTGGAATTTGCTCTGTAGACCAGGGTGGCCTCGAACTCACAGAGATCCACCTGCCTCTGCCTCCCGAGTGCTGGGAGTAAAGGCATGTGCCATCAACACCCGGCCTCCAATTTTTTTTTTTTTAAATATACTTCAAACTATTAGTCTTAAAAATATTGTCAAAAAATACACTAGTAGCATAAGGAAAATCCACAAAATACACGTATTTTTTTTCCTTATATCAATACAAGTAGAAAATGATTTCTTCTCAAGTTTATTTATGTTAACAGTTTTAGAAAGAATTTACCTTTAATATCTGACTTCTTGATACCAATACAATAATTTTACTTGCTTAAACATATGTTTTACTATATTTCTTACACAACTGTTTTCCAAATGTGCATTTGTCTAGTCTGGGATATCAGCACAGAAAGAATGTATTATTAACAGTATATTTTCTTGCCAGTAATACATGCATTTTTGGTGCATATACTACTATTGAGCATATAAAGAGTCAATAATGTTTTGATGCAGAAAACATAGCTGTCAGTTTTGTTTACTTATGTTTAGTTAAATTCTGATGTTTTGATGAGTGCCAGCTATCGTTTGCATTTTAAATAAATTTAAGTGGCTCTTCACTTCCTGCTCTATGTTAAGGGGCAGTCTTCTTCTGAATCAGTTGTCTTTCTTTTAATTGTTTTCAGTTTGTGTTCTTCTTTCACTGGCCTTTTATGAGAGTTGGATGTACTCAAAATTGACTATCATAACATAGTCCATGAACAATACAGATGCAGCCAGAACCTGAGACAAGTAGAAATGGGTGGGGATTTATTTGTTTATTTTTTGCATCCAACTTGTATGATTTTTCCATGTAGTCAGCCCATCATTACTAATAAGTCAAATTGACATTAGGGTGACTACCTTAAGACAACATGTGGTGGTGACAGAAATCTGACCCTTAGTATGTATGGTATTGTGTGTGTTACCCCATTATCTGGAGTCCCAACTAATTGGAATAATGCTATAGACATTTGAAAGAATGAATCACTGATAAAATCCTCTTTTGTATTTTTTGTTATTTAGATGTTTTTATGAATACAAATGAATTGTCTTCTTTAGTATTTAAAAATGTAGAGTAGCTAGGATGTAAATTGAGTATAGCATATGTCATAGAGTCTGCATTTGTTAAACTTGGGACTATAAATTTGACTTAGATTGCCTTGGTTATCTGTGGCATCTAAATACACTTTTCCGGTTAATTGCTGTCTTTTTTCTTATTAAAAATTGTACACGGAGTTGCTAGCACACACTTGATTCTTACATGATATCATCTGGAATAGTAGTAAGCCCAGTGTGTGCTTAAATACAGTCATGTCAGTTCTCATCTTGACTGAAAGGCTAACTAGAATCAGGGTGCTGATCCCATGTAGTGGTGTTGGGTTTCATGTGTTAGAGAATTACTTACATGAAAACCAAATGTAAAACCAGAAGAAGGAACTCAGGGAAAACTTTTTTTCATTTTATGAAAAATAGATGTTATTCACAGTAAATGACAGTTACTGTGCTTTGGAATTTAGAGGTAATAGGTTCTAGTTAGTTTTTGTGGGAAAAGTTGCAGAAAACCAATGGACATAGGGCCTGTGCATGCCTGTTATTTCAGTATTTGATAAACTTAAGTAAAAGGCTGTGTAAGTAGTCGGTAACTCAGACCCTATTTTCACAAAAAAGTAAGTAACAAAAAAAGGAGAAGAAAGAAAAAGTTCTTGTTTCTTTAGTTTGGCTAAGAATTATTGTTTGTTCAAGTAAGAATATAGTGTTTATGGTTTAATTTTTCAGTATTTAAGAGGGAAACAGTAAATCACAAAGAAAATTTGTATTTAAGCTTTCAAGTTAGATACATTAACTTAATTCTTCTTATACTTTAGAAATCACATAATTAAGAAGATTGAGACAGAAAATGAAGTGAAAGCAAATGGACTGAGCAGTTGGAATGAAGAAGATACAAATGATTTTAGTTTTGTGGATCTGGAACAGACATTTCCAGGAAGGAAACAAAATGGAATATTGCATCCCAGAGACACCTCTGTCATTTTTAATGGACACTCTCATAGCTCTAATGGTGCCTTAAAGACACAGGATAGCTTGGTGCCTGTGGGCAATAGTGTTGCTAGCAGGCTTTCTTTAGATTCTGCCCAGGAGGAGAAGGCAGAGAAGAGCAACACTGACTTCAGAGACTGCACAGTACAGCAGTTGCAGCAGAGCACCAGAAATACAGATGCTTTGCGGAATCCACACAGAACTAATTCTCTCTCATCGTCTTTGCACAGTAACATTAAAATCAATGGTGCTCACCACTCCACTGTTCAGGGGCCTTCAAGCACAAAAAGCACTTCTGTTGTGACTCTTAGTAAGCACTTCTGTTGTGACTCTTCAGTGCCATCCAAACCATCAGACTACAATTTTATCTCAGATTTCTATTCTCATTCAAGACTCCATCACATCTCAACATGGAAGTGTGAATTGACTGAGTTTGTCAATACCCTACAAAGACAAAGTAGTGGTATCTTTCCAGGAAGGGAAAAGTTAAAAAAACTGAAAACAGGCAGGTCTTCCCTTGTTGTAACTGACACAGGTAGATACTAAAATTGTTTTCTTCAAAACAGTTATATTTGATGATTTTGTTTCATTGGTATTCTAATCATTATAAACTTCTTAGTATAAAAAGCCTCCAGGAATGCCAGGTTATGTAAGTTAACAGTAAGTATAACACTAAACTTTGTTATTTTATGTTAGATTTAACTGTGGCTAACTGAAAATATTAGGCCATTTCAATGCTGTCAGAACTGGGATTTCAAGTATTCCTTCCTCATGTAGACTTTATACATTGTTGAAGTTTTGAACTGTATAAATATAACATTTTATATTCCGTGCCTAATCTGTGAGAATGAAGTTGTTTGGTAAGGGTAATTGTGAATTTCTTGAAGCTTACTTCATAATTCACTTTTAAAAAATTAAACACTGACCTAATTATTGTACTTAGAGTGGTAAACTTAGTGAGATTATTTTCACATCTGTGTAGATTGTTGATAATTTGTGTGTGGCTTAATGTTTGTCATCCAAATCCAACAGGAAGCTGTTTTGTGACAGTCATTACTTAAACTAGAGTCTAGTTTAGACCTAGTTTGAAGTTTCAGTTGTTTTTGACAAAGGGTTTGACGTTTTTTTTCTTTTGTGGGCGTGGCACAAAGTTCCAAGATTATGTGATAATCTTTATAACTGTGGAAAGGGAGGCATAAAGAGAAAGACGATAATGGTGTTTTAGATCCATGTGAGTTTTTTGTTGCTGCTATATTGGTTTTATATATATTTCAACATGTTTTTAGTCAAAATGATTTTTCAGTATTTCTGAAATATTTCAGAGTAATGCCATAGTTCTTATGTCTTGGTCTTTACAACCTTAAGGTTACTTAATTTTGAAAGCTTTAAAATACTTTTATGAATTAGGTCTATTGATGGGAATAAATTCATAATCTTCTATGTTGTAAGAAAGCATTTGGTAGGTATTTGGTTTATACATTCTGTATCCCTTGAATATTTAATACTATTTTGGGTTGTTTACATTTTGTTTCATGTTTTTATACAGTAGAATTGCGATTGTTGTTTGCCTAACATGTGCAAGGCTCTGAGTTTGATACCTAGCACTGCCAAAGAAAGAAAGATTATGATTGTTAAAATGTACTTGATAAATCTTTCTGAAGGTAGCATAGAGAACGGCAAGGAAGTGCAAGGGTTTGAGTTAGATAGCTTAGCTTGAATCCAAATCCTTACTCTGCCACTTTGTGCCGTGGGAACATGCATTTGCCTTTCTTGCCTGTTTCTTCTCTGCAAGAGGAGTGATAGGAATCAGTGATGTCCAGCTTATGGGTTATCCACTTGAAGATAACATGAAGATTCAGTGCCTTGCACATAGTGAGACAAAGTAAATGTCTTACAGTTAATATGTGAAGTAGCACAATTACTAGGGAGTAAGTTTAAAAAAAAAAAACTATCATAAAGCCGACAATCAAGAATATTCTCTGAGATCAGAACTTCTTGCAAGCCGTAGTTCTTAAATTTAGGTACTATACTATTACATTTAGAGCACCAGGAGGAGTAATAGTATTAATGTTATTATAAAGTAATATTTTCCAAGCTGGGTGGGTAGTGGTGGCACACGCCTTTATTCCCAGCACTTGGGAGGCAGAGGCAGGTGGATCTCAAAGAGTTTGAGGCCAGCCCAGTCTACAGAGCTAGTTCCAGAACAGCTAAGGGCTGTTACACAGAGAAACCTGTCTTGGAAGGAAGGAAGGAAGGAAGGAAGGAAGGAAGGAAGGAAGGAAGGAAGGAAGGACGGACAATGTTCTAATAGTTGGGTTTAATAGCCCTTACTTTTAAAAACATCTTAGGTTATTCAAAGCTATTAGTTGTTCTCATGAGATAATATTTTTCATCTACGTAAATGAAATAAACTTGCTGCAGAACTAGTAACAACTAATGGTGTAAGAAAAATTCCATTTGTATGTAGATTTTTTTTTGTGGACAACTTTCTGAAGCATGTCTATTTATAACAGCAGCGTGATAGTTTAAGAGCTTGGAAATCAGACTTACTGGAGTTAAATCCCAACTTGGGCACACATTGGTTGTGTGAGAATTTAGATTAACCCCTGTAAACCTCTCATGTCTACACACCTAACAGCAGCATTGGGTAGTAGTAGCCACTGTAATTGTTACTTCATTAAATATTGTTTTTAAAATGTGGGGAATGAAGCTTATCAAAGGTTACCTAGCTCCATGTAACTACGTAGCTGTAGATATCAGAATTGTTAAAATAATCATAGATTTATCTAATAAGATCAAAATTTTAAGATAAGACTGCTAGAAAGTAGAATGATACCATGGTATTGTTAGACGATTTAAAATTAGAAAACAAAAGGAACTGAAATCTGTTTATTGAGGTGTGGTACAGAGGTGCTCCATAATCTATTCTGTATTATGTTAAGATGTCATTCTTCTGAAATATGATTTCTAAAATTAACTAGACCTGTTTTTAATGAGAAGAATTAGTTTGGGGTTTGAATGTTCTGTTTTTCCTTCTAGGCAATATGTCAGTAATGAGCTCATCCAGACATCAGAGCTGTGTAATGCATGTTGATATGGATTGCTTCTTTGTGTCAGTGGGTATACGAGATAGACCAGATCTCAAAGGTCTGTATTCTTGTTTGTTCTAAGGAAGTTGATACATTGTTATGGGAATATATATGTGTATGATAACAAAGTGTTTTCTTGAAAAGTATTTTGATTTTTCCTTGGTCAGGTCAGTTTCTTCAAATTGTCAGAGGTATAGGGAAATTAGAAAACCTCTGTTTGATGTAAGTTGAAATCTGCAGAGAAGAATATCTTAAACTAAGAGCTCTTTTATCTTGCATAGATGGGGCCAGGTTCTGGATATTTTCCTTTTTTTTTTTTTAATTGTTACCTGGATTTTTTGTGATATTCTATGTCTGTAGACTTCTGTTATTTCTCCTGTTCAGTAACTCTCCTCCTCTGACATAGGTAAACATCCTAACTTTTGGGTTGTGGTAATTTTGTATTACTGAGTCATCTGGGCAGTCTGTCTGTTCTAGTAAAATTTCAGGTTTTTGTTTGTTTGTTTGTTTTTCTCATGATGCTTACTACTATTAGAAATATTTATTCAGGGTTTTTCAGTAGTTCTTTCTGGAGAAGATAACTACATTAGCATTTTCTTTTGAAAGCAGTTTTCTCTTATGTAAAGAAATAGTAGTTAGGTCATTGAAAATTCTAAAAAATCCTATATTTCCAACAGGGCTTTATTTTTGTCCTGGGTAGTTGTTACTCCAGTTCTGAAAGATGTTCTTAGGATGTGAAATAATTGATTTTAGCCTGTGCATAAGTTACTGTCTAGTATTTTGTGGGTTTGTTTAGCTTGTGTGGAGGGGCAGGGAAGATTCTGTGCATATGTGTTTTCTTTGTTCTGAGCCTCCTGCCTTTTAAAGCCTGTGCTTCACAAATCAATTTCTGTTTATGTTACCATTTTACAACATTATAGCTGTCTTGTAACATAGTACACACACAAAAGGAAATGATAAAGTAATGTTCTTAACCAAAGCAAAAACTGGGGGACTGAAAACTCATACTTGGTTATATGTTTGTTTTTTTTTTTTAAAGATTTTTTATGTATACAGTGTTCTGTCTGCATGTATGCCTGCAGGCCAGAAGAGGGCACCAGATCTCACTACAGATTGTTGTAAGCCACCATGTGGTTGCTGGGAATTGAAATCAGGACCTCTGAAGAGCAGCCAGTGCTCTTAACTGTTGGGCTATCTCTCCAGCCCCTGGTTATATTTTAAATCAGGTTTTGATTACTATGCATGAATCTCTAATTTATTTCTCATGCTATAAAATTAAAAAGATAAGTATAGATGTTGAACCTATATATGCCAGAACTATCTGAAGTCTATAGTTTGTCTTTCATTGTCTACATTCTGAGCCTGGGATCTGAGTTGCCTGTTTTTCATTGTAAGAAATCAAAAGCCATGGAAAACTGACTATGTTGTTTTACATTGAGTCAGTTTATCAGAAAAAATATCCCTAGGGCCATGCTTGGTGGCACACACCTTTAATCTCAGCACTACAGAGGCAGATGGATCTTTGTGAGTTCATGGACAGCCTGGTCTATGTAGAGGATTCCAGAATTACTTAGAGAGACCTTGTCTTTAAAAAAAAAAAAAAAAAAAAAAAGTCACTGAAATTGTCCATTTTGGGGGTTAACTAAAAACCTTAGGTGATGCTAGATGATGTTGAGTATATTAGCATCTTTAAGATTTAATGCCTAAGTGATTAAAGGAAAAAATGTTATGTAATTAGAATCCCATGAAAAAAATTCCATTACATGTTTTTAACATCCTTTTGAACTTAGAGAAACAATTTAATCTTTTTCTCACAGGAAAACCAGTGGCTGTTACAAGTAACAGAGGCACGGGAAGGGCGCCTTTACGTCCAGGTGCTAACCCCCAGCTGGAGTGGCAGTATTACCAGAATAAAATCCTGAAAGGAAAAGCAGGTACAAATGAGTTCTTTGAAGCCATAATGCTCCTATGGATGACTTCAAGATACTACTATTGGTATTGGTGTTTTAGAACTGAAAGCAGAATTAGAATAATTAGCTCTTTTCAAGTTTGAAGGTTTCAAGGATGCTAGTGACAACTTGAAGCAAACCAAAAGCTGAATCTTAACAGATGACAGGTTATCGTCATGCTTTCTAAAACTGGATGGTGATGTTGTCCTGGAACTCAGTGAGGTTTTAAAATGGCAATTAATCTACTTTTTATAAATTTAGATTGGGAATGAAAGTCATGACCGTTTTGTAGAAACATTGATCTGGACTTGAGTTATTAGCCGTTTGGCTATGTTACAGTGCTAGGCATGGTGGTTTCTAATACTAGCATTTGGGAGAGGACAGCAGGGGTTATGCTTTCAAGGGAAGCCTAGAGAACAGGGAAACCCTGATTCAAGAAAGCAGACAAACCTCTATTGGAATCATAATCTAAATGCCAGAATTATTTTTCATTTTAAGTGAACTTGTTTCTTAGAAGAAACATTTTTATAACTATCTTGGAAAATTACTCTATTCACAATAAGATCTTCATTTTTTATTTTATTGCCCCTATCTTAAAGTTCCAAAGAGTATTTATTTACTTAGAAAATCTTTCACATTGATTTTTTTTTTTTTTGGAATATCTTGTGAAAACAAAATTTAAAAAATCATTCTTTTAGAAAAATATTAATAGGAAGAAAGACCTATAGCTCATTAGAAAAGATCTATTTTGGTTTTATCCCAGTCACTTGAGTTCCCTTCTTTTGTCAGATATAAAACATTGGACATATTTTGGAAAAGACCCTAATGAAGCAAGAGTAGAGTCTGGACCTCTGAATTTCTTTTCTAGAATTAGTCTTTTTGTTGGTTGTGATCATTTGCTTACATAGTAGACATTGAAAAGGGTAATTATAGACCCATTTATTTTTTATATGTTTCCATTTCTCAAGTTTTCTATGGCTTTTATTAGTTGTTAAATGTTTTCAGAGATTTTTGAGGTTCTTGTGTGTTGTGTCAATCGATCATGGGGTAACTTACTGAACTTGTTGAGACTTCGCTTTGTGGTCTGTGGTTATTAGATTCTTAAGTGTAGTTTTGTACAAGGTTGTTCTTTCTGTATTTTCTATGTGGTATTATTAAAAAGGTAAAACTGATCTAGAAAGCAAGAAATACATAGCTGAAGAAAATCACAGTACTTGTCACATGTGAATACTTATCAAACAACTATCAAAGTAAGATAAAGATACAGATGTATATGTTTGGTGGCATCTCTAAGTTCCTTTGTGCTCAAGATTCTCATGGATAGTATCTAAGCCTGCTGCTTATTTGAGCAGTCTGCATCTAGATTCTGACCTTGGCAGGCACTTGTTCTTTGAAAGTAGCAGGGAGCTTGTCTTCTTTTGTCTTGCTTTCCATCACTGTCTGGCCATACATGATTTTGCAGCAGAATATTTTCTTTGGTTACTTACTTACTATCTTCATCTTTGTAGCCACTGGATTTTCATATTTTACAATTCATATCTCCTTCACTTCTGTGAGTGGTGCACCAGAAGCCAAATAATTGAGGAAATGTTTAAGTTCTACTTGCCATTGAAAATTGACAAAACAGATTTTCCTCTCCTTAGAAAAGGTTACTATAATACCTTGATATTCTTGTTTTAACTTGATGACATTCATGTTTGTATCTTAAGCACTTTGACTCATTTGGAGCTTATAAAAATATTTGCTATACATAAAAGGATGGTCTTTTATTAAGTTTATATCCAAGCCTTGTGCCCAGCCAGAACCTGTTTTCCAAAGCTTTTGTTCTGCTTGCCCTGATCTCTTTCTCTGGACCATTATTAGACATAGCACTAAAAATAAAAGTACTAAGGATCAGTTTAGAGAGTAGACTCTTTGACTTTTACACACTAGCTTTGTAAAAATCAGCTCTAATATATTGACTTGTGTGGTTAGGTTAGGCAGATATTATGACCAAAAAAAAAAAGCATCTTTAGTCTTTTGGAAATTGATTTCTTGTTCCTTATATTCAGAAACTAGGCTAGTGTAACCAAGGTATTTCATCCATCTGTGACTTCCTTTGTAAGCTGTTTTCTGAATCATCTCATTGATGATTTCATTCAGAACCATTTAACCTCTGCACTTCATGGTTTTGGGGCCTTTTACCCCTTCCTGGATTCCCAGGATGCAGATGTTTTCTATCCCTTCAACAACTTCAGTTTTCATTCTAAAGAGCAACAGTTTAAAAAATCGTATTAGTCATAGATTTATTCTCAGCGATTTCTTTTTCACAGACTTGTGTCCTGGCCTCTGATTTCTCCAACCGTTCCTCCACATTCTCCATGTGCCCGTCTAGTTTGTCAAGTTTTGATCAGCAGTTCTCTACTTTGCCCTCCAGTGAGGACAGTGTGTCCCTGCATTTCCCCGAATCTCACATGAAGCAACTCACTCCGCTGGTGGAGAGACCCACGTACTCTGCTGCATTGTGGAACAGGTCAGCCAGCCCAGTGAAGAGGAACACCATGGTGCTGCCTCTCAGGCCAGGGCATTGGGGGCGCATGGACCACACTCTATTCTCACTTCAAACATAAACTTTCTGTAATTTCCAAATGAGACTCCTAGGTTAAGTAATCCTCCCAATATAAAGGTCACGTAACTTCCTTTAAAAGCACAGTTCATGGTTATAACTTTGAAAGAAAGCAGATTGTGGCTGTGGTTGTTTGTTTAGTGGCACTCTCTGTTGGTCTGTTATTGACAATCCTTAAATTCTTACAGATTAGATAATGGACTGTTGCAGAAACACTGATTAATCTATTCACTTTCTGTCTTGAGTTTGTAAGCGTGTGGCATATATGATTTACATTTTACCAGAAATCATAGCTCACATTGCATATTCTTGTTTTTATTTTTAGATGCAAGTAGCATTTAATTCCCACCAAGATACCAATTCTGAGTTTGGCTTGTATTCATGGTGTTCATGTATAGGTGCTAGATTCTGGAAATACTTGTATGGGTTGCGTATTAGGTAAAAATGTTCATTGCTGTTAGTCAGATAAGGAAGAGTTATTGTAGACTATAAAGCCAGATACTGTGTTGTGTTTTCCTGGTGGTGAAATAGCTTGGCTGATTTTCATGGAACATTGAGTCTCTTAAATGGAAAAGAGGTACTGAGTTTGTTAGCTTTGTCCTATTATGGTATATAGGTTGTTTGGAAATAACTAATGTGCTAGGTTTGGGTCTGTCTTTACAAACCATATTGTTCATAGACTTGAGACATGGCTGAGATTGTATTTTCAGAATATGGGGTTCTTTTCTCTCTCTCTTTTTTTTAAATAAAAAGTTCGATAAAAGCAAACTTTGTTTTTAACCTGGTAGTATTATCCAGAGATATATGATCAAAACTTAAATCTACTTCTTAATTATTAGTAAATGTCAGTATGGTTTAGGTGTCATGTAGCCAGTATCCTCTCTAGGCCTTTACTTTTATATGCTTGGGTGAATTTGTAAATTTGGTTTGGATATTAGAAATGTTAGTGAGCTGCTGTTAATGTTGAGGCTAGAATTATGTTCTGTAAAGCAGTTATTATTGATTGTAATTGAGATCAAGTTTTAAAATGAAGGTACAATTGTTAAATGAAAAGTAGAAAATAATGCTGTGAGGCTGTTTTTATCTGATGTTTTTAAAAGAAAAACCTTTAATTTTAAGATGAATATTTTTATAGTATATGAGGATATATTTATATAATATACATATTTATGTGTGTGCATGTATGTATATCTATCTATCTATATATATAGATGAAATTATCAGGTTACACTGGCTTAATTTCTGAATATGAGGAACAAGAAACCAAGGTTTCTAAAAAGCATTATTATTATTATCAAATGGCTAGCAGAAATTTGATTTCTCTTTAACATATTAGTTTTAAGTTCTGTAGAGAGTACTTTAAGAAATAACAAAAAATGTTCCAGCAATCTTGTATTTTCTGTTAACTTTTTCCCATTACAGTGAGGTATGAAATTCTCCTAAAGCAGGGGAGGGAATTCATCTCCCTGATCACTTTCATTCTTATTCACCCTGAACGACTGTGTGTTATAGGATAACAGGATATTTTACATTTATTACAACAGGATAATTTAAATTTATTATGACGTTTCTATCTGACTGTTGATGAAGAATATAATGAAAGAAAATAATTTTAATAGTTTTGTACTAAATACAGAAATAATGACAATTGAAATAGGTGTTTGGAAGTTAAACATTTGCATCTGAAAATAATAAATTTTTAACATAATAATTAAATTTTATTTTAAAGCAGATATACCCGATTCATCAGTATGGGAGAATCAACATTCTACACAGACAAATGGAATTGATTCTGTTTTGTCAAAAGCTGAAATTGCTTCTTGTAGTTATGAAGCCAGGTATGTAGAAGCTAAGTGAGTTCTAATTCTTAATGAATAGCTAATTATTATTATATACTTCTAGAAAGATTAAGTCTTGCAAGTCAAGCCTTTGATTTCAGCATATTGCTTTTCATAATATACATTTAATATTTTTAGCTTGAGTTCCATCATTTACACTACCATGATAATAATTTAAAATAATGTAATAGTTTCTCATGATAGGTTCTGCAGTTAAAACAAAAGGAAATTAGGCATTGTCATATTTATTGTCTTCAGGCATAAAATTGAGAGTTTTTTAAAATGGTGTTGGAAGGCCTTATTTATTCAGTCTTTCTTACAAATAAGAAAAATTTCTTTCATTATAAAACTGATAATTGCTGGAAAGATGGCTCAGCAGTTAAGAGCAGTTGTTCTCACAGAAGACTAAGGTTCAATTCCTAGTACCCACATGGTGGTTCACAACTGTCCATATCTCCAGTTTCAGGCAATGCCATTCATCTGGCCCTTGTAAACACTAGGCATACACACACAGAGACATGTGTTAAAGAAAACACATGCACATAAATTAAGTTTAAACTTGATAGCCTTTTAAATCATGAAAAGTTATTTCCTTTTATCAGACCTATTCTCACTTCAAATTAGTAAAAATGAACAAATTTGTTACCACTAACTTTTGTGTAGGCAGTTGTCTTACAGTAAGCTGAAACCATAATTATAACCTGCCCTTTTAATATGAAAGGAATATATTCGTGTTCCTTATGTCAGAAAATTATGTAAGGACCAGTTAAAGAGGCCACACAAGCATGATGACCTAAATTCAGTCTCTAGAAATTCGTATATAAAGAAGAAAGAGTTGACTCCACAGAATTGTTCTCTGACATCCACAGCCATACCGAGGCTTGTGTACCTACATATACACATCATTTTATAAATGAAAAATTAAGAATAATTATAACAGTCATATAAGTAGGAGTAATATTTGTTAGAGAAATCTTTTTTTTTCTTCACTAATTGAATTCAGACACTTTCACCTTTATAATATAGTGAGCACTCACGTATCATTGTTACATGTTAAAGAATTGAATAGTTATGGGAAAAGGTGTTAAATTAGATATTTCAGTATTTCCAAGTTTGGGGTTATTTAAGGAGGTCTGATCTGAACATAAAATATTTGAGCTAAACGTGGTATAATCAGAGTAGTTTTATTAAAATTTAAACATGTATAAATATAAAGCACTCTTCTTATCCATTTTTAAGTTTACTTATATGTGAATATGACAATTAGTTTTACTCTGATGACAATTGGTAATATGGCCAAAAATTTGAAACTTACTAAAAATAATAAAATGAAAAAGAAATGCTTTGGGGTTGTTGGAAATTGTACTTAGCATCGGCAATTCAGAGCTTAATGTATAGAATATATCAAATGGTAACCTGGCTATTAATAGCTAGACAGTTGTGAAGCTGCCCAGGAGTGCTAGTTGGTAAAGTGAGAACTTGGGCCTTGCCTCACTTCCTTTTTAGGGTCTTGGTCAGCACCAGCTACCTCAAAGATGAATGCTGGGTGGAAGTCCCAAGGTTTTGTACCGAGTAGGTGTGTTCTCAGTTCTGGCAGCTCTGAACTTACTTGCCATGTGTTAGGTGGTATATTTGTATTGACCCACAGGTGGTGACTACCATGCCGAAGAGCAAAATAGGGGTTACAGTAGATGAGCACCAAGTTGTTTGTGGCAAGACACCTAAGTGCTAGTTAAATAGCAAGTGTTTATTTCAGATTTGACTAAAAAGATGACAGTGAGTTTGAAAACCAAAGGCACGTAAACACACATCTGTACAACCACTTTTACTGTCATTTTCTATTTTCTAGAATGATTTTCCCAAAGCAGGTCTTCAGAACAATTTCTTCTTACCCCTTTTTTTCTAACCAAATTTAGTAATTTTATCAGAGAACTGTTTGAGATTGGAGTGATAGATTATGGAGATGATCAATCTAGTTCTGTGTATTGATGAGCTTGATATAGACTAATAGTGAAGTAACAAAGAATAAAGCGTGACTAGATGGTGCCCATGCCTGACAGTGGACTGTGTGTATGGTGCCTATTGTATGCACTAAGGAAAAAGTGTTATACATGATGAGAAGGTGTATATGTTGAAGAAAAGGAGGTTTTTATTCTTAACTTAAGCGACAGACCTGGTGCAGGATGGTCATTCTAACACTTGGGAATCAAAGGCAGGAATAGGAGTTCAGTGTCATTTTCTGCTACTTTCAAGGCTGTGCATTCTGTATATCCAAGAATGTCCATTCTCTACATTCAAAGCTGTACCTCAAATACACCCCCTCAAAAGTAAGAAATAGAATTTTTTAACTTCTGTTTTCCAAATGCGTTTATATGAACCTTTAACTGTTACTTAATGATTATGGATTTATATAGTATATTGATCATCAATAGTGATTAGATGCTTTTTTCTTTTTATGTTTTTAATTCAACCCTAAAGAGTTTTGTCTTAGCCAAGCATATTGCAGTAAGAATGTGTGCTGTATACTTTAAAATGGGACATTAATTCTATTTTCTACTACATATTTAAAAGTATAGCTTTGGTAACTTATTCTTCATGGATTTTAGTTAAGAGGAACACATGAATCATTCTGTTAGATTCATTTTGAGGTTGGTTTGCTTTATGATAGGTTATCATTATATAGTTCAGCTGGTCTGAAAAGCTTTTGTATCCCAGTTTGCCCTCAAACTCAAAATCCTCCTGCTTCTGCTACCACTTAAGTGCTGCAGTTCCACTATGTATCATGATGCCTGGCAGACTTCTTTTGTGATTGTCCTTACTGGTTTGTTTTCTGTGTAACAAATCCTGAATCTCCTGAACATATATCTACTTATGGAAAGTGTATGTTTCCCTTAGTTATGGGAAACTTCCTGCATTTGTTTCTTTAGTTTAGAACTTCTTTATGGTGGCCAGAGTGGTCTCAGACTTTCCTCTATGCTGGGAGATGTAGCTCAGTTAGAAGAATGCTTGCCCAGCATGCACAAGGCCCTGGGTTAGATCCTTAAACACAGCAAAAACTGGGTGTGGTGGCAGCACCTTCACTTCAGCAGTACTTGAAAGACGGAAGCAGGTGGATCAGAAGTTCCATCCGAAGCTAACCATAGAATGTTTCCTTTTGAGAAAGTTGCTTGAGTATCTAAGTAGAAGTAGCATATTGTTCTAAGTTATATTTTTGAAATTTTTTTAAATATATAAATTTTAAAAAGGAAATGAAAAAATATTTGTAGGATCATTGTAACATGTGCCTTTAAAAGACTGGGTTATTGCCTTTAATTTGAATGTTGAACTTACATATTTTATAGCTTTATTGTCAAAATTTTACCCTTTTTCAAAGCTAAGCTTTAGAAAAAAACATTTTTAATTTTTCTATATACTTATCTAAACTATTGTATTTATACTTCTCCGTGTATGGATAAGCATATTGATTTAGTAAGGCCTGCTGACTAATGAAGGTCAATCTGAGTAGATGGAGAGACGTGTTCAGAGATCTTGGGGTCTGTCTGTTTGTGGGACACACACCAGCACCTTACAGAACACTTGATGATGTAACTGCACGTAGCTGTTCCAGCCACCTTTACTGTCAATCACTGCTTCCTTTCCTATCATTGTTTGCTTCCATATGCTGGCCATTTGACACTTGATACTAAAATAGTTTATTTTGTTTTTTTACATGAAAAAAAGTATGTATTCAGATTTGTCTCTGAATAACTTGAGAGGTTTCTTAATTCTTTGTAGTTCTCAGTGGTGATCTGAATGTTAAGAGAGTCTCAGAGGCCTCTGAGTAGCAATAGAAGACTGTTAATTCACTTGATCTTAAACAGGAGGCCAAAAAATAATTGTATTTGTTTGTTAAGCCATCACACCCCCAACTAAGTCCATACTTGGTGAATATTACTGGATGAATGAATGGATTAACCATGATCATTCTGTACAATATTGTATAATCTGGTGAAACATTGCTTTATTTTGCTTGTGTTTTTACTGTGATATTTTTTCTTGATTCTTTACAGAGTGATAAAATGGAATTTTACTAATTATGTATAATTCCATAATTGTAGTTTTATGCTGAATGCTCCAAATATCAAAGGTAATGTGGGGCATTGAGACACAGAATAGATTTAAAATTTACCATTTTCAATTAGGTCCCTCAAAGTTCTGGAACCCTGGCTCCTGCCCAGAGTGATGTCCTACCATACAATGCTGTTGGCATCTCAACCACTGCGGAGCTACTTGAGGAGCATTGGAATTGGTCAATTGGGAATTGGGTGGTAATAGGATGAGTACATTTTGTCTGTTTGTCACATAGCACTGTTTTGTGTAGTTCTTTTGTTCATATTCTTTGTCTTTGGGGGATGAGTCCTGGCTAAACTGTGCCATGTATTAGGAGAAGAAAACCATTTTGACAGCACATTCCTGCTCTGTGGTGGTTGTGATATCACCAGCATATGGCATGCTGGCATCTCTGCAAAGGGGCCAGAGGTCAAGTTTTAGAAGTGTTTAGCTACAGACAAAAGAGATGTCATTTACTCTAGTGAGACAATTGTATTATTTTCTGTTGGGGGGAATGACAAACTTGTAAATATCCTAATGCCTATTGCTGACCCCTAACGAGAGGGGGAGTTACATGGAAATTGTGTATTAGTGGCATGGGGAGATCAAACATACTTTCTATTTGGTTGTCAGCTTTAGACTTACTGATGTAATCTCCACTGTATTTTCTCTTCTTTTTAGACAATTTGGCATTAAGAACGGAATGTTTTTTGGGCATGCTAAACAGCTATGTCCGAATCTACAAGCTGTTCCATATGATTTTCATGCATACAAGGAAGTTGCCCAAGCAATGTATGAAACATTGGCAAGGTATTGTGTACGATATTCTCAGGTTCATTTCTTTTACTCTACTTCTTTGATTTACTATTAAAGAGTCCATGGGTGCCGTGGTGGCACACGCCTTTAATCCCAGCACTCAGGAGACAGAGGTAGGAGGATCTCTCTGAGTTGGAGACCAGCCTGGTCTACAAGAGCTAGTTTCAGGATAGCCTTCAAAGCCACAAAGAAACCCTGTCTTGAAAAAACAAAACAAAAAGAGTCCAGGTTGTTTTTTTGTTTTTTGTTTTGTTTGTTTGTTTTAAGCATTTTGAGAGTCATTGGATTTTTGTCTCCTGTGATCCTTTTTCTCAGCCTTCCAGTTTGATGACTGCCTTTCTTTATGTTGCTTCAGTAATTGGGAGTTTAGTCTCAAGGAAAAATTGCATTACCTCATTGTTCGAGTGCTACTGATTGTCATGTGAAATCTGCCAGTGTATGGACGTGTTTTTCTTTGCCATGAAACCAGAGAGAGAAAGAATTGGGGTATTTTGTTGTTGTTTTTGTTTCACTTGATTCTTCTCTTCTATTACATTTGAATTATAATTTGTTTAAAATTGGAATTCACGGAGTGAGGTGTAATAGTATGTACTGTATCCAGAATTTCAATACCAACCAGGATAGTGGAGGGAGAACCCTGTATTGTAATTGAATAAAATTAAAAGCAATGTGTCAATAACAGGCATCTATCTTTTTTCCACCTTTAATTCCAGCACTCAGGAGGCAGAGACAGGCAGATCTCTGTGAGTTCGAGGCCAGCCTGGTCTACAGAGTGAGTTCCAGGATAGACTCCAAAGCTACAGAGAAACCCTGTCTCAAAAAAAACCAAAAACCAAAAAACAAAACAAAAAAACCCAAAAAACTGTCTTCATCTTAAAATTGTTAAGCATGCCAAAAGATTAGGTTTTATAAAAGTGAGTCTGTGGTAATTGCTTTACAATAGTTGAATAATTAAATTGAGGAAAGGAGATAAATACTTTTTCAACATAGACTTTTTAAATACTAAGGCAGTATTAAAAAAGAAATAAAATTATTTAGTAGCTTATACATACTCTAAAGCCAGTCATGTAATTTCTATGTAAAGGGCTAGAAGAAGTCTTTAACTCTGTAAATTAAAAAAGTTTTTAGTGATGTAAATTACCAACTCAGGCCTGCTGTAGTGAAAATGTGATTAGTATTTGTCCAAGAGATACGTTGTCATTCTAAGACATACTATCTTTACCCCTGCTCTCGACCCCTTCATTGAAAATAGATTCTTTTCTCATACTATATATCCTCTTTACAGTTTCCCGTCTCTCTACAAGCCCGGTTCCTCCTCACCTCTACTCACCTCCAGATCCACTCCTCTTCTGTCTCTTGTTTGAAAAGTATTGGCTTCTAGGAGATAACAAACATTACAAAGTAAAATATAATAAGAAACAAAAAGCATCATATCAAAGTTGCATAAGGCAAACCAATAGTTGGAAAAAAATGCAAGGACCAGAGACCCACTGGTTCACACACTCAGGAGTTCCATAAAAGTACTAAACTGGGCAGCAGTGGTGGTGCACGCTTTTAATCCCAGCACTCAGGAGGCAGAGGCAGGAGGATCTCTGTGAGTTCAGGCCAGCCTGGTCTCTCCCGAGTGAGTTCCAGGACAGCCAAGGCTGTTGCACAAAGAAACCCTATCTTGAACCCCCCTAAAACAAACAAACAAACAAACCTAAACTGGAAGCTGTAGAGTGAGTGAGTGAGTGTGTGTGTGTGAGCGTGTGCTTATGTATGTGCATGCATGCAGAGGCCCTGGTACAATCTCTATAGGCCTGCCTTTTTGTTTGTTAAGCTTTATCCTGAATACTGTTAACCAGTACCAGGTAGCTGCCTCATTTCTGCTGGTTTCACCAAGAGAAACAATGTTCAGTTTCTGCCCTTGTGGAAGCTGTCTTAATAGTGGAGAAAAGAAACATACAGGGAAAGATTTCAGTTACCTATCACCAGTCACAGCGTAATACAAATGCAGCAGTTTTGGTGTTACTGTGTTACAAATGTGTTAAATGCTGTTCAGAAGCTAAGGGCATTGATAGCATCCAAAGGAGGGCGGAGCATAGTTTGACAGAGGTGCTGCTGTGTTCCCAGTTCCACATCCTGGAGCAGATGACTTGCTTGTGACTGTGGACTAAAGAATTGAGGGAGAGCTGGGGGCCTGTTACACTTTAATGTGTGAGCACTTTTTAGTGGCATCTTTCTGTTCACAGAAAAACAAAGTCATTCATTTTATTTAAAACAACAGTGGCAACAAAGCATTGTTCTTAAATTTTTAGCCCAAGTAGCATTTCTTTATTGAATGAGTAGATTTTGTACCTTCCAAAAGGTGTGTACTAGCAAGTGGATTAAGACAGGACATGATTGTAAGGACTCTTCAGCTGTCTATCTCTGGTCTGAGACTGTTCCATGGTTCCTTTGTCCTATTGCATTCTCAGGGATTTAATAGATTTAGATATTTAATGGTTGTATTTTGCTTTTAGATGAACAGCAGTTGTTGAACTGATGTGTGCACACTTCTGTTCATAAAAGTTTCTGATAAGCCATATTTAAATTTTCTTAGAGATTTTGATTGTTGTGATCCATTTACCACTTTGTAGTTATTTGTGTGTGAGAGAGCATCTTTAGTACAGTCATTTCGACTATAATAGTTTTGGTATGGAATTAAAACAGTAATTAACTTTGTAGTCAAAAATGTGATAACTAAATAGTGGTACTTTGGATGGGTTATTTAAGAGAAGTTTGTTTTTCAGTGTTTAAAAATGCCTTGTCTGTTTTGTAATATTTAATGTCTCCCAGAGCAGGCCTTAGGGTATTATGATTCATTGCCTTTGCTTTGTATTGATAGCTATACACACAACATTGAAGCTGTCAGTTGTGATGAAGCCCTGATGGACATCACTGACATCCTTGCAGAGACTAAACTTACTCCTGATGAATTTGCAAGTGCCCTCCGAATGGAAATCCAAGACAAGACTAAATGTACTGCCTCTGTTGGAATTGGTTGGTATCTCTTTTTTTTTTTTTTTTTTAAATAATTTATTTAACTTTATTTTATATGCGTTGGTGTAAAGGTGTCAGATCTGGAGTTACAGATAGTTGTGAGCTGTTATGTGGTTGCTGGGAATTGAACCCAGGTCCTCTGGAAGAGCAGCCAGTGCTCTTAACCTTTTGGCCATCTCTCCAGTCCTGGTTGGTATCTCTCTTGTCATGTCCTTGTTTTTACTCAGAGTTTGGAATCCTTTAATATCCCTTAATTTAAAGGAGTTTTAATAACTTATTACATGTTGCAGAATTGTTTTTTCCCTTTTAGCATTGCTTACAGATGTGCAATCAGATAAACATGTTGGAAATGCAAGTAATGGTTAGCAAATATTTTTGCAGAGAGGGAGGTAGAATAATTCTTGTTCTCAAAAACGAGAAAGATTAAATCTCAGTTATTGTTTGCCTCAAATTTGAACAGATACTGTACCTTAAATAGGTTTATGGCATGGAACTGAAGTTCATCTTTAGTCTTCCCTTTGTTTTCCTAATATCACAATGTTCTCTGCAATTCCAGGCTCTTCCTCCTCTTCTCTCCATTCTGTTTTTTGTTTATTCAACTGTTGCCACCACCTGTCCTTATGTTGACTTTATGCTGTACCAGTCAGAATTGAAATGCATGTAGACTTTCTGTGTCACCTTTTCCTGCCTATCTCAGCCTGCTCGAGAGCTTCACACACTGTCCTGCAGGCTTGGAAGGTAGTAATAAAGCTTTCTAAGTATGCTGTTCTTGGTTCCACCTGTTCCAACATTCTCATTCATAAAAGCTTTTCCCTCAAATTCTTGTCTTTTGAATCAATAGAATTTAGATTGGTAATTCAGTGACATCATAAGCCAGGTGTGATGACACCCTGTTATCCCAGCACTTAGGACACTGAGGCAGGGGGAAATACAGACCATGAAACCCTGTCTCAAAATGGTTTGGGAGAGAAAGGACCAGTGACTTACATTTCTGGGGGACAAACATGGTACTGATGCACGGGGCAACCACTAGGATGATCATGAAGCGTAAGGAAGAAAAGCTTTGGGAAACTGGGGCAAAATTCTCATTGAAATTTCAGTGGCAAAGGCATTGCACTGAAGGGATTGTCTTACTTGCCTGGTACCTGGCACTGAGGTGATTTAAGAAAGAGAAGCTATACTAATTTCTTGGTATATTAGGTTTTTTGTTTGTTTTTTTAATTGCTGTGGTTAAAAGTAAGGCAGTTTACTGAAGAGTTTACTTTGAGCTTTCATTTCTAGATGGTTAGGGATTCATAATGGAACAGCATGGCACTAGGCACCACAAATGACAGCTGGAAGCTGAGAGCTAGGGTCCACGTCTGGAACCACAAACAGGAAGCAGAGAGAATGAACTAGACATGGAACCTAGCTTTTGAAACCTCAAAGCCTGTCCCCAGTGACATACTTCCTCCAACTGGGCAACACCTCCTGTGCCATTTTATGCTACCAACCTGAGATCAATGAAACCACCACAGCTGGTGTGTGATTTGTGATGATGATGTGGTTAGAAATGCCTATATGCACATGAGAGATTTACTTCCCTGTAAATCTGGTAGCTCAAAAGGCAATTTTCATCTCATTGCAGTGTATTTTTAAGTTAGAAATACTCTGTTTACTCCTTTGACAGTTTTCATACAATGTATCTTGATCATACCCACCACCAGCTTCCCTCCCATCTTTATGCCCTGTTTTTGTGTGCATTTTATATGATCTTCTGATTCCATGTACATGCACATGGTTGTGGGACCATCCACCCGAATGTGGACAACCTATCAGCATCTCAAACTCCTGGGAGAAAAAAATTTACTTACCCCTAACCACCAGTAGTTTCTCAGCTAGGGGGTGAGACTGTCCATTTTGGAATTTTGACCAAGTAGGTCTTTAAGAGAGTAAGTAACCACAGCTACTGTGAGTTCTTGCATTTATTGCGTCTTGTCACGTGCAAAAGAGCATTTCTCAGCATTCCTCCCTGTTGGCCAGCTCTTAATTTCGCTTTCCAAGACATTCCCAGAGCCTTGGGGTAGATGGTGATGGCACTCTAGATGGCTGAGCACTCAGCAGTCACTGATTCTTGGTACTTTTGACCAATTAAGTCTCTTCATTCACTGCTGCCCACTTTAGAAAGAAACTTCTTTGACCAAGGTTAAGAGTACCTCAAATAATTTAGGGCATAAACATAAATGTTTGTGACAAGTAGTTTGACAATATGACCATTTAGCAAAACAGCAATACTAGCTATACAGTCTCACATCCACCCTGGTCTGTGACGTACCCAGCTATGAGATTTAGTAAGATTTAGAATTCTGTCCCCATGGAGCAGCCTTCACATATAATCAGACAGCAGTGTTTAACCCCCGTAGTAGTCATTCCTAATTGCACTATAAGTACATCTTCCAGCAATATTCTTAAGATGTGAAACATCATAGGATACTGAAAGTTAAAAACAGATGACTACATTGGCATTGTTCATACAGGTACTGTCTGACCTCCTGCCTTTTCACTCACTACTGTTGGCCTATAGGTCCCTCTCAGCCTTTTTTTTCCCTACCCACCTCTGTACTTCAGTGTCAGATACAGTTTTAATTTCTTGTTTTTAATCAAACTTACTTCTAATCTGCAAGTGATAGTGTAAATATATTTTCAGTTTTAGAATGGGATTAAAACTAGCCCTCACCCTTACCACTTTTAGCATTTTGATATGACTTTGCTAAACTTGAAAATGTGGGTTATTACATGATTCTTCCATATGTTGTTAATACAGGACTTCCCTTATATCTTGGTGTTGCATTCATGGAAAAGCTTCCCTATCAATCAAACTCCAGTCCCTAGCAGCCCTTCTCTGTAGGCCCAGGCCCCCTGATGTCTTTATGGTGCCTGACCATGTCTCTGCCACAGCTTTCTCTTACTCCCTAATGTATTTTTATTATTTTGAGAAGTTCACATTATGCACCCCATGCACTTACCAGTCCTTCAAGACTTCCCCCCTTGTAATCCTCTCCCCAATAAGAAAAAAAATCCAGTTTGTGTTGCCTATATACCCACTGAAACATGGTCAAACTCCCAGTAGCCAACCCCTTAAAGAAAAGTCTTTCCTTACACAACCCCCAACACCCCCTTCCAGACACCCTCATTTGTGGAGAGCTACACTTCCAAACATTCTTATCACAACTTTTAAGAATTGTCTTTGATGGTTTCCTGTCTAGGGTGTTACTTTGAGGGTAGGGGTAGGGGTAGAAGTTGTCACTGAAGCTTTTATGACCCTCTTTCTCAGCTGTGAGGCTCCAGTCATCCATTACACTGCACAAGTAGTTTCCTTGCCCTTTACATTGAGGAGGTGCATAGATCCTGGACTTCTACATGGTATCTGGCATTTGCCACTTACTCAGCAGTACAGATGAAGGACACCATCATAGCTCTCTGGAGCAGCACATACCAAGAACATCAACATGGCCTCCAGGGTAACATGGGCCAAGTAACACCAATATAGTCCTGGTGGCAGCAGAAGCACAGACCACAGACATCCGAATAGCCTCCATTGGCATCATAGGTCTGGACATCACTATGGTCCCCAGCTTCAGCAGAACTGGGAACCCAGTGATAGTCCTCGTAGGTGGCACAGAACATGGACACCAACGTGACCCCAGTTGGCCTCCTAGGCCACCCTCATCAACATGGCTGGGACTGTGTTGATGTCCGTTTCCCATGTTACAATGGAGGGCCATGCTTCCACCACAGTTTTCATTTCTGGCCTTCACCTGCACTTTGAAGACCTTAAAAGCCCTCTCACATCAATGCTTTGATTTGTCAGCTTTGTTTCTATTATTTGCTGACCTGTATTCTTCATATAACATTGATCCTAGGGTTGAGAAATTTAACTGGTTTTTATTTTGGCTTTGGTTTTCTCTAAATCTACCACACTTTTGAGTGGGAGGTGATTTGAGATAGGATCTCTCACACTGTAGCCAATTCAGATTCATAGGCAATGAACTTCTTAAGCCTCCTGAGTATTAAGATTATTTACATGAGTCACCACACCCAGCTTAACCCCTCCTCCTGTAAGGTCACGCTGCTTTCTCTGTTCTACATCAGGAATAGACACTGAAATAATACTTGCTTTAAAATAAAGTAAAACCTTTCTTCAGCAACCATATTGGTCATATTCTGGTATCGTAAATAAAACTATCAAGTATATACCTTGTTTACATTTATCAAAATTGAATTAGTTTCATCATTTTAAGATATGTGAATGACACAATCTACATGTCTCTTTGTATGAAATTTTAAGAAATAATAATCAATTTTTCCCCTTTCAATTTCATAGGTTCTAATATTCTTCTTGCTAGAATGGCAACTAGAAAAGCAAAGCCAGATGGGCAGTACCACCTGCAACCAGATGAAGTAGATGATTTCATCAGAGGTCAGCTTGTTACTCGCCTACCGGGTAAGTAAACGTCTTTTACCAAGCATTTGGCTAGGAGAGATTATTACAGACATTTATAAGTACTTTTCGTGCCTTTGTTTTTGTTCTTGTGGGGCTATTTGTTTTCAGGCAGGGTCTTGGTATGTGATTTGAGATTGTCTCAGACTGTCTGGATCATCCCTACTCAGCACCTAAGTGCTGGAATGACACGCATGTGCTACTATGCTCATTTTTCTTTCTTCTGTCTCTTTTTAAATACAATATTAAGGGTTATGAAAAAAACAAAGTACTACATTGAACATTGATTTATTACACATTTTAGGTTTTTTCTAGTGGATTCTACTCAATGATGTGACTAAGTTGGTAGTGGACACCCTAGCATGCCAGAGACCCCAATTTCATCCCCAGCATCACATTCATAAAAGTCACCTGTTAGCACAGAGACCCATAATCCCAGGCATTCCAGGGGTGGAAGCTGGGAGACTAAAGTTCAGTATCTTGAGGCGCAGCTAGCACTTGACCACCCTGGGCAAAAGCAAACAATCAGTGGCAAGACTTCTTAAATAATAACACCAAGGATTCTGAGAAATAGTTTTAAAGGAAATATGAAATTAACTTAGTCTTTAAAAACATTTATTGTGTCTGTGTTTGCTCATGTACGTGTCATGGTGTATGGAGGTCAGAGGACAACTTTGGGGAACTAGTTCTCTCCAACTATGGGTTCTAGGGATTAAACTCAGGTCATGAGGTGTGTCAGGCAAGGGCTTTTTCACAGTGAACCATCATTTCACCAGCCCAGCTTCCATCTTTTAAACCCATAATCCAAATAGTATATTTCTAAGCTGAAAACAAAGGTTAAGAAATGTATTCGTCTGTTTTGTGAGATGAAGCTTCAGAAATGCAGATGGAGTTCAGTAGTAGAGCACTCAGCAGGTATGTGTGATGCTTTGGCTTTAATTCCTAGCACTTACGTTAAAGATTGATTTTTAATCTTTATTTTTAACTGTATTTATGAATGTGTGTCTGTGTGGGGATATGTACATGTGAGTGAGTTGCTCACAGAGGCGATAGGTCTTGGAGATACCTGCCTTGCGTGCTGGGAACCAATTCCGATCCTCTGCAAGAGCATTAAATGTGCTTAATGATTGTACTGTCTCTTTAACCCCACCTAGCACTGGTTTTAAAAGAGAAAAATTCCAGAAGAAAAAAGGACACTTGGGCCTTGTAGCATATGTTTGTAACATGAGCAACTGGGAGTTGTTGATCGGAGGATTAGGAATTCAAATCCAGCATGGGCTGCATGAGCCCCCATTTCAGCAAAACATAAAAAGAGGGAATGAGGAAGAAAAATAAAAATTTATCTCATTGATCATGGTGGCACGTGCCTTTAATCCCAGCACTTGAGAGGCAGAGGCAGGTGGATCACAGTGAGTTCAAGGCCACCCTGGTCTACAGAGTTCCAGGACAGCAAGGGACACACAGAGAAACCTAGTCTTGAAATATGTATATATATTTAACTCAATCTTTAAGGTTAGTGATAGATTTCTGAATTTATAGTCCATTTCAAAAGTAGAAAATAGATGCGCCTTATTAGGAAAAGTTAAACCTGGAAGGTTTTTTTTTGTTTTTTGTTTTTTTATCAGGGTGTAGGGATTTGTTTTGATGTTTTTATGTAGTTATAATCCATTCCGTCAGTTTTGTAAATGCTTTTGTATATATATTTTTTAGATTTAAAAATTTTTGTATTTGCAGGAAAATGTTAGAGATAGAGAACAATGATAGAGATGTGTGTGTACAAGTAGATTTAGTAGAATTTTCAGATGTATATTTTAAACCTAATGAAAATGTCTATGAACTACCTTAGAAATTTGTTATGTCAAATTTTAAATGACCCATGCCATTTTATGTAGACTAGTTTGAAAGCTTACTGTGGTCCTCATAAATAACTGTAGTACTGTTAAGTGTGTGGTCAATTTCTGATGTTCTGTTTGAGATTTAATTTCAGAAGTAATTAGCTTTATAAGATCAAATAGCAAATTACTTCATTAGCACAATTTAAACAGGTGTAATAGCACATTTTACAGTTTTAAGTTTGAGTAGGTATATTCAAAGCTGTGTATAAATTTCATGCTTATTATACTAGCTAACTTTGCTTGTTGTGCTGCAGTGACAAAACACCATAGACGTCAGTGTCTTCATAGAAATTGATGTGCTTTTTGGAGGCTGGAAAGTTGTTTGCTTTGACAGGATCTTGAATAGCCCAGACTGGCTTAGAACTTCCTGTGTAGCTATGAGTGACCTTTAATTCTGGGTTCTCCTACCTCTGCCTCCCGTGTGCTGGGATTACACTGCATACCACTATGCCTTCTTTATGGAGGCTGAAAATCTTAAGTGTGAGGAGGGTCTGCTGCTTCCAAGGCCGCCTCTCTTTGTGCCTCATGGTCTTTATTCCATGTAAAATCTGTATTGTCTTAGTCTCGTTTTATAAGGGCGTCAATTATTGGTACTCTGTCCTCATTTTACCTTAATTACTTGTGTCCAAACTCAGTCACAAATGGAAATTTTTAAATGAAGGGTTATGTTATGACTTCAGCATGTTTTGAGGAAGACAGAATTTAATATAAAATGTTATCTGCCAACTGAATTGAAGTTATAAGGTTTTTAAAATTAGAAATAATTTCTAGCTCCCTAATCTAGTACTTCAATCTAACCTTCATTTGTTTTCTAGATGGCAAGACTTTTCTTGTGTTTTGTTTTTGCAACTGGCTCTTGAGTTAAAAACTATGTAGCTCAGGTTCAGTTAGCCACTCAGTTAGATCCTAATTATTGGGATCACAAGTGTGCACTATCACACTTGATTAGGAAGACTTTATTTTCTGTCTTAAGATTTATTTATGTTTGTTTCTTAGTTATGTGCATGTATTTTTGTGTACATGTGAATGCATGTGCCCACAGGGGCCTGAGGTGTCCAACCCCCTGAGCTGGCGTTACAAGAGATTGTGCCCTACATAGTAGGTGCTGAAACCAAAGTCTAGCCCTCTGCAGAACAGTATGCCCTTGTGTCTTAATTGGTTTCTAATGCTGTGAAGAGACACCATGACCACAGTAGTTCATATAAAGGAAAATATTTAATTGGGTGGCTTACAGTTTCAGAGGTTTAGTCCATTATCATCGTGGAGGCATTCAGGCCAGCATGGTGCTGGAAATGGAGCTGAGAGTCCTACCTCTTGACTTGCAGGCAACAGGAAGTGGTCTGTCTCACTGGGTGTGGCTTGATCATATATAAGACCTGAAAGCTGGTCTCCACAGAGACACACTTTTTCCAACAAGACCACACCTACTTCCAACAAGCCACACATCCTACTATAGTATTGCCACTTCTTGTGAACTTACGGTAGCAAATTGCATTCAAACTGCCATAACTCTTAATACTGAGCCATTTCCAGCCCACATATTTGATTCCTTAACAGGCCCCTGTGAGGTTATATATCCTGACCTGTCATTAGAGGCATAGAGTGTTTTATTTCTTCATTGACATCCAAAAATATAGGGCCAACAAGATTGGCTTCCTGTTCATGTCCTTACCATTCAAAATGGACTTTGTGTTTTGGCTCCTATTAAATCCCCAAATTTTGTCTGTCAGTGATGGCTCACACCTTTAATCCCAACACATGGGAGGCAGAGACAGGTAGTTCAAGGCCAGCCTGGTCTATAGAATAAAGTGAGTGCCAGGACAGTCAGGGCTACACAGAGAAACCCTGTCTTGGAAAACCAATAATAATAATAATTCCCAAATTTTGAACTGACTTATTTTTGGTATGTACTTACTCAGTCTTCTGCATGTCATCCCTGTTCTGTTCTAAAGACGGCTTTTTACCCGTCTTTTCCCAGAGTATGTTTGAGAGCACATATAGTAGCATTCTTTGGGAAGCAGAATGTGTGTGTGTGTGAGTGAGTGAGTGCATGTGCCCAAGCATGTGGAGTATCTTAAAACTGTCAGTCTTTGTCTTTTATTTTTTAAGATAGTCTCACTGAACCTGAAAACCAATTTGGATAGGCTAGTTAGCCAATGAGCTCCTAAGACGCATCTGTTTTGTCTTCCTCCACCACCTTTTCACAGTGTAAGGTTACATGTCCATGCTTAGTTTTACTTATTATTTTTAAGTTTTATTTGTATGATAACTTGCCTACATGATAAGAGGGCATTGAGTCTCCTGGCATGTGAGTTGTGGACTTGTGAGCTGCCTTGTGGGTGCTGGAAACCAAACCCCAGTCCTCTTGCAAGATCAACAAGTACTGTTACCTGCTGAACCATTGCTTCAGCCCTGTGTCTGGCTTTTGAAAAAGGACTGGGGGCCCTGTGCATTAGAAATTCTAAACATTATAATAAAGAATCCTATTTAATTTACTGAATGCAAGAAATTTCCCAGTGATGTTTGTTGGTGAATATAACTATTTTCTATCTTGTGGCTCCTACTTTCAAGAAAACTTGCTCTCCAGTTGATAATTAGAATAAATTTATTGATAGTACCCCAGCCTCTCTTCAGCTCTGTACACTCATTGTGTACTTAGCAAATAATATGCTCTGTAGACTAGGAAACAGTTTCAGAGTAGATATAAGCAGTAAAAGGACAGCATTGATTTTTGGGGACTCCACAAGATGATTATGTGTTATGTGAACAAATATATTACTTAATTCAGTGTAGGTACATCGTGAAAGAAAAGACTGTCCTTAATAACTGGTTCAGTACTTAACCCTATTAGATCTTTACAAAGCTATTAACCCTGTGGGTGTAATCTTCAGTTATGGACCCTGCACACAAGGTCAGGGCTGGGGTTTACATCTAGTTTGTCACTTCCAACTCTGCATAATCATTAACTGTTCACAAAGATGTGCAACCTTACATTCACAGTTAACAGATAATGTTAGTTCCTCATTTGGCTTGGCCTTATTTCTTGTACTCTGAGGCCTTCAAGTGACTACTGCGTTTAACAGCACAGGCACAAGCATGTCTGTCACCATTGATGTTTCATTGAACACACCTAACATTGAGGACAAAGACTTGGTTCTTTGACATTTTTCTCCCCTGTATCAAGTGAACCACCGAGGTCTGGCAAAATAGGAAGCCTTACCCATATTTATTATGGTTCTCTTCGAGGGCAGGTGCAGATTATGCCCCAGCTGCTTGAACAGGGGCTTCTACAGCTCTTCTCTTTGTTGCAAAGCAGATTCTAAGGCAGTGCCTTCCCTTTTTATCTTTTCCCTCTTGGTTGGTTGTGCTGTAGTGAGGCCTTGAGCCCTGCTACTTTTCCTTACGAACTCTGAGATGCATAGCATTGAATTAACAACCGTTTTGGTCCTGTCTTGGAATTTCATCATTTCCTTCCCCATTTCCACTACAGGACCATTTTGTTTCACCATATGTTTCTCCATATACAGCAACTTTTATTCCTCAATGATTCCATTAGATTAGATTGATTGTGATCTGTTTAGTGATGTTTCAAATATGAGTAGTCACAGATGACTTCTGAAGCAGTGGGTCCCACACTGTCACATTTACATATATACAGTGCAGTTTGACTTGCTTCGCTTCAGTTCTGACTTGGACTGTAAATGGCACAAGTGAGAGCCAGCATCCAATAGGATATAGATTAGCAATCTCAACATTCGGGTCGCTACCCATTTGTCAGTTCTCTATTTCCAGAAATATTCATTACAGTTCATAAGAGCAAAATTACAGGTATGAAGTAATTTTATGGCTGGGGATCACCACTACATGAGGAACTCTTGACCTGAATCCTATTTTACTGTCTCCAGGGGTTCTCTTGGCAGAGCATGCACCTGGGTTCTTAATGCCATTGAAGACCACTCAGGAGAGAAGAAAAAGTTACATAACTACATTGAGCTGGCAGTAGACTTTGCTCTTTTTTTTTTTAACAACATATAAAAAGCACACAGATGCTAGTAACTGATGTTAAGTCATTTAAATACGAATTATAGTTTACCTGAGTTACTCTAAACTGCTTTCTCAAATGTGTATTTCTTTTTAACGTTTTTTTTTTTTGGATGTGGTGTAGTTCAGTGGAACTCATCAGCGTCCTGGATAGCATTGAAACTTTGTGCACAGTGTATGGGAGAACATGGAGACTGGCCCAAATGTAGGAATGATTGTTACCTCTTCAAGGTGGTCAGTTAGCTTTTGATAAATGGGTCTCCCTCCCTTCCTACACTACCATTCCTTGCTTAGTAGCCTTAGTCCCCATGTCACTGGTTCCACTTTTGTTCCTTATGAGATATAGGCATGTATCATCAGTTCCCGTTTTAGTTCTAGTCCAAAGTAAATGTGGTGAAACCATCATGGATATTTGCAATTTTATCACAGTACAGCTCTTACCCTGTACTGGGTAGTATTTATATCTGGGCTATAGACTCAAACCATAAATTCGTAAAAAAGTCTCTGCTTACTTATTGATTTGTGAATAAGATAGTAATCTTGGAATTGTTCGAAAAATTGTTTTTTATATAAAACTTAAGTTTTGTTTTGTGCATGGGTAAATAAATGAAATGACCAAAATTGTAAGTTTGTCACCAACTGTTTATGTATTCCTTTTTCTAGGTGTTGGACGTTCAATGGAATCTAAGCTAGCATCTTTAGGAATTAAAACTTGTGGAGATTTGCAGTGTATGGCCATGGCAAAACTCCAGAAGGAATTTGGCCCCAAAACAGGTCAGATGCTATATAGGTTCTGCCGTGGTTTGGATGATAGACCAGTCAGAACAGAAAAGGAAAGGAAATCTGTGTCAGCTGAGATCAACTATGGAATAAGATTCACCCAGGTAACATGTCTTTACATGCTCCTGTTTCTAACCTCTAAAGTTCTTGATGATTGAAATGAGTAATAAAACCGTTGGTAGTTTCAGAACCTTGGAGACTTGGAAGGTAGATCCCCAATTTAAAAATCCAGGTCTTTGCCTGGTAGTGGTAGCACAAGCCTTTAATCCCAGCACTGGAGAGGCAGGTGGATTTTGAGGCCAGCCTGGTTTACAGAGCAAGTTCCAAGACAGCCAGGGCTGTTACACAAGAGAAACCCTGTCTCAGGACACACACACACCAGAAGAAGAAAAAAATGACCCAGGTCTTAAGGAAAGACAAAATATTTTGTTTTGGGGGTCAAAAGTGATTTTGAGTTGTAATTATTCTCATTGCCAATGAAGAGGAAAGGGCCAGACAGGTATCTGAGTTTTAATTTTTTTTAATTATAGTTAAAAAGTCTTCTTTACCTCATTTTTCATGCTCCTAGTATAGTGACCCTAACGCTGTGACCCATTAATACATTCCTATTGTTGTGTTTTGTTGTTACTTTGTAACTAATTTTGCTACTCTTTTCCAGTGGTCTTAGGAGACCACCGTGAAAGGGTTTTCAACATTCAAAGGGGTCACAACCCATAGGTTGAGAACCATTATTCTAGATATTGGTAGTACAGATGGATTAGTGTTTGTTTTCCTTAAGAATATGCATTTGAGCTGGGCGGTAGTCGAGTATGCCTTTAATCCCAGAGCACTTGGGACCAGTCTGGTCTACAAAGCTAGTTCCAGGACTGCCTCCAAAGCCACAGAGAAACCTTGTCTCAAAAAAAAAAAAAAAAAAAAAAAAATGCATTTGAACTTAATATGACTCTGGAATGTAGTTCTGTATATACTGTACATCAAGATTTGAAATCTGGCAAGTTCTTGGTCTTCTGAACTATCATTTAGGAGTCTGCTTTAGCATTAGAATTCACATTTTATCAGGGAACTTAAGAATTAAAACAGGTCAGTGATAGCATCAAAAAACAAGAAAGGAAATGAGCATTTATATTAGCACACATTTCAAGGTGTATGCACAGTGTTTCTCTTAAATAAATACTTATGCTAGGGAAGGAAAGTTAGGTATATTCAATATTCAGAACTAAGATACTTGAGAAAAACTATTAGGTTAAGGAAAACAATATGGAAGTGGCTTTCCTTTTTCATCTTTGTCTTTTGGTAGCCAAAAGAGGCAGAAGCTTTCCTTCTGAGTCTTTCAGAAGAAATTCAAAGACGACTTGAAGCTGCTGGCATGAAGGGCAAACGTCTTACTCTGAAAATCATGGTACGGAAGCCAGGGGCCCCTGTAGAAACTGCAAAATTTGGAGGCCATGGAATTTGTGATAACATTGCCAGGTAACCTTTTTCTGTTTCATTTTAAAAAAGGGGGGCAGGCATTGGTAAGCACAAATCTTTAGTCCCAGCACTGGAGAGGCAGAGGCAGGTGGGTCTCTGTGAGTTCAAGGCCAGCCTGGTCTACAAAGCTACATAGAGTGTTTGTGTTTGTTAGACTCTGTGCAAGTTATTATGCCATACAAGATAAAATCAGTAGTAGTTTTAGTATCCTGTAGAGCCAGGCCATAGCCCATGGTCATTGGAGTTAGGTTTAATACCTCCATAACACCGAAGGTCAAGAAGTATTTAGTTCACAGTTCTTAGTCATTCAAGAATCTGGCACTATTTTGAACTCTCTGTGGGCCAGTGGCATTACAATGGCAGGAACATAGGCAAGACAACAATCACAAGGTATGAAACAGGAAGCTAGACAGGTATTAAAGGCGGGGCTTGCTTTGTGTAACAATTATCTCAACTAACCAAGTGCCCATGACAACAACACTTATTTCCTAGAGCAGTGACCCAGTCAGTTTCTGTACCTGGCTCTTTAGATCCTTTAAATCACTCCCACCATACTGAGTATCAAGTTTCCAACATGACTGAACCGACCACACCCAAATCACTAGCACACTCAGGTCCAGCCATCTGGCAGCCTGTGGCTCCTTTTATCGTCTCAAAGCTGTTAAGAGTGAGTAGATAGGAAAGGGCTACACATTAGTAAGCCAAGAGAACTGATGTGTTGTTGAAACATTGGGGATTCCCCAAATTTCCATGAGTAAATTATTCAGATAGGCAGCATTTCTCTTGTGAAATGAGCAATCAGATCAGAATCATCTCTGGAAAGTGGTGGAAAGCTTTTCTTTAAAGCCTTGTACATCACTTAATGCTAGAGTGACAAACCAAAGTGGTAAAATCTTTAACAAGATCTATATGTAAGGGTTATATTATTATATATTAAGGGTTTTCAGTAAAGATCAGCTCTGGTCAAACATAGTTGCGTATTGTGATCTTATAAAATCTCAAATACAGATACTCAAGTCATTAAAAGCATTACATACTGTGGAAACAGGCAGAGTCAAACAACATAATTTATAAAATGTTTAAGAATGGTGTATATATATTTCACATGGAAATTAAATGTAACGATCATGGTTTTTGTGGGCAGGCAGGAGGAATACAATAACCAAATCCAGTTTATACAGTGTCTCTATGAACTGTGAACGATGTGATGCTGTAATTTTGGTTGCAATGGGCCACTGTGCTCATGCAAAAGAATTCCCCGTGACTACTAAAGATGTTACAATGAGTTAAAACCATTGCTACTACATAACAGGTCCTTCAAGGTTCCTTACAGATCTAGAGTCTTCCATTCTAGTCTTTGGCTTTTATGCCAGGTTATAACAGTATTTGTTGTAGTAGCTGTCATAATAGCTGTGTACATTTTTTATGCATTTATAAAAGCTGTTAGAGAAAGTAGCATTGGAGTGAAGATACTTAAATGTTGGAAATACTCACCGGAAATACCAGAGGTTTCAGAGATGGGTTCAGTAGTTAAGAATACATTTTTCCAAGTTCTATACATATGTGTGTACATGCACACTGGCATATGTGTGTGTATGCACACTGGCGCTGTGGCAACCAGAAGAGGGTGTTAGATTCCCTGTGGTGGGAGTTTCAGGTCATTGGGAACTGAAAACGCAAATGTTCCTAACCACTGAGCCATTTCTTCTTCAGTTGATTCACTTCTTCTGTGATGTACAGTAACTGAAGTTTTCCTTCCCTAAATCAAATTTTGATCAAGTCTCTGGTTTGTTTAAAGTATCAGTGTTCTGTATGTTTTCTATGGTTGTAGGTGGTAGTGCTGGGTTATTGTAAGGGTGATTATTCATTCATTTTTATGCACTTAGCAACTCTTTGCAATGTTTCCATAATATGAATTTTTATAGAATGTACATTTATTTGCTTAGGAAAGTAATTTTAATACTTACAGGACTATAACTCTGGACCAGGCAACTGATAGTGCAAAAGTAATTGGAAAGGCTACTCTAAACATGTTTCATACGATGAAACTAAACATATCGGATATGAGAGGGGTGAGTATCACATTGAAGCCCTTTTTAAAGATTTATTATGTATAGTGTTTTGCCTGCACGTATGTCAGCTCCCCAGAAGAGGGCACTAGATCTCATTACAGATGGTTGTAAGCCACCATGTAGTTGCTGGGAATTGAACTCTAGACCTCAGAAGGGCAAGCAGTGTTCTTAACCTCTGAGCCATCTTTCTAGTGCCCACAATGAAGCCTTTTTCCCGTAATGTGAAGCCTGGGCTTCATCTGAGCCTGGTCATGGTACAATGTGCAGGTCTTTAACTTCTTACTTGCTATCTAAGGAGGGAGACCGAACTTCGCATCAAGCCTCATCATCTTAGTTTTGAGAGGTTAGATTTGTTATGAAGACTTGTTTTCTGTGTAGAATATTATTGAAATCTTGCATTATTTTTTTTCTTCCTGCCCTCTCCATCCCCAGCATTAGGCAGCATCCCTATCCCTGAGCTATTGACCCAGCTTTATAAAGTTACTATCGAGAAATTGAACCTATTAGCTTGATTATGCTAAGTAAGTACATGTTATACCACTCAGCCTGCCAACTTCAAAGACAGGATCCTATTTAAAGCCTCAGCTGGGGCTGCTTAAATACTTGAGTAGATACAGGCAATTTGTCACCAAGCCCAGGTTGTCCTGTGATCTCCACCTCACACTGTAACAGCCTCTACTCTCTAATAAATAAATGCAGTAAACCTTAGGCAACCAGAAAACCTGTGGAATAGAGAATCCATTTTTAAAGGTCTTACCATGTTAGGGTAGAATCAGATCCTCTCAGAAGAAAAGCTACTTAAATTGCTCACCCACAAGTCATTTGTGGGCATAGTTTCCTTTATTCTAGAAAAAGGGTCTAGATGGTAGTACCAAAAGATTAACTGAGAATTTTGCTTAGTTGCATTCTTACTTTTCACTAAACATTTTCTTTTGGTTCTAGGTTGGGATTCATGTGAATCAGTTGGTTCCTACTAATCCAAATCCTTCCACAAGTTCAAGTCGCCCATCAATTCAGTCAAGCCTCTCCCCTGGTCGATCACATTCTGTCCATAATCTCATCCAAGTTCAGAAAGCTAAGAAACCCACAGAAGAGCAACACAAGGAAGGTGGGTAACAAGTGTGCAGCTTCTCGTTTCTGTCCCACAAAGTCCTTTGGGAGTAAATCCATTTTAACATAGGTCTCTGCCAACATACTCTACTCAAATAAGTAAAATCACATTCTAAATTATGATTTTAAAAAAGGTATTTGGAAGGAACAAAGAATCCAGTGACGGGGGAGGGCTATCAGCCTGTTTGCTTTTTCCTCAGATGAGCTCAAGAGGCCATTTGATTTTTATTTTGATTCCTAAAATTGTAGTATTTCTGGCTGCTGTGGATCTGGAAGTAGCCCCTGCCTCTAAACCGTGTACTTTATTGTCACCCTTTTCTACACATCTGGCAGCTAGTGTCAGTACTGACACTAACAGAGGCGAATGTTCAAGGAAATGGAATGGACTGCATTCTCCTGTCAGTGGACAGTCAAGACTTAATCTGAGTATAGAGGTCCCATCACCATCCCAGGTATGTTTTTTGCTCCTAAGTATAAAACTGGCTTAAGAATGGAAAATTTTGTAGGTTGGCATAAAAAGTCATCTTCATGTGTGTATTATACTGTTCTCACTCATGCCCCCCCCCCATTTCTGCAGGTTCTCTTGCTAGTTAGTCCTGCCTTGTACTTTCTCACAGGTATCTACCACCTTTCCGCTTCTGTTCACATGGAATACAATTGTTGCTTCTAGATATAGTGAAAGGAGCAGTTCTCACGCTTACATTAGATTCCCCCTTGATGGTGACAAGGAAGGAAGGGCTGGCCAAAGAGCAAGGGATTCTGTAATGCTTCTATAAGCACCTTTTCAACTTGTTCTTTTAAGTATAGGAAAAATTTCTATTCCCTTTCCATGAACAAATTCTCACTGCAGGGTATTTTATGATTGTTATGTGGACTAGTGTGTGCTACTGGCTCCTAAAGTTCACTCACCTTCACACTCAGGCTTCAACAGCTTGTCTGTCTGCTGCAAGAGGCTAGCTTTTTGAAGTCTGGTGGTCTGCACTTTTGTTGTTTCTCAATTCTTCAATTCTGAGCATCAGGTTCACATTTGGTATTTTACAGATTGATCAGTCTGTTTTGGAAGCATTACCACCTGATCTCCGGGAACAAATACAACAAGTTTATGCTGCTCAACAAGGAGAGCCACGTAGTACCAAGAAGAAAGAACCAGTAAATGGCTGCAGTTCAGCGGTATTGCCACATCCTGTTGGCACAGTTCTGTTACAAATCCCAGAGTCTCAAGAATCTAATAGTGACACTGGAATCAACGTCATAGCCCTTCCTGCATTTTCACAAGTAAGTTAATGTTAGGTGCCTTGTGTCATAGTTTTCTCACCTGTCCCACTTTAGCTTAGTTCTCACTTTCCTCTCCTCTGTACCTACAAAATTCTTGAGAAGCTTGCAGTGTGTGTACCACCTGCAACATTGGTTGGCCACTTGACCCTTTTCGAAAGGGTCAAAAGTCTGTAAGAAACACACACGTAGTTGCCCATGAAGATCACATAAATAGGATGAAGATGCACAAAGGAGAGAGTAACACAGCCTTGTGTTCACATTTTTCTTGGCTTCCCATTTTGATAAGTTTGATTTCTCATTTTCTATGATCTTTTGGAGGGTTAAGGGACCCGTAAGAGTGACTTCACAACAGTCTAGCTATCATTTAGAATTAACTCAAGTCACCATTCTTCGTACCAGGTAGACCCTGATGTCTTCGATGCTCTTCCTGCTGAGCTTCAAAGGGAGTTGAAAGCAGCATATGATCAAAGACAAAGGCAGGGAGAGGACACTGCTCATCAGCAGACAGCCAGTGCATCTGGTAAGACATCTGATAAGTGATAGTCCTTGCTGGTTAGTACTTGTGCTGATGGACTCTTGAGTTTTTGGAATACATGTCACGCTAGTTGTCCTTTGAGAGTCTTATTTGAAACAAAATCTCTGGATATGAGTCCCTGAACCTACATTTATTAAGCCCGTTGGATTATAGATACACAGCATATCCAAAGTCAAAGTACCAAGTTGTACAGCTGAGCTGGAAGGAATTGTAGAGCCTAAAGTCACTGCATTCCTGGCTCTTTGTAGTAGGGTGTATTGGAAGGATGGAGAACTCAGGGTTATTACCTAGATTCATTATGAGGATCTCATGCTTCTTCTTTTAGTGCCGAAGAATCCTTTACTTCAGCTAAAGCCACCAGCGGTGAAAGACAAGAGAAACAAGAAGAACCCCATTGCTTCTCCCAGAAAGATTCAGAGTCCTTTGAAAAATAAGCTGCTTAGCAGTCCTGCAAAAACTCTGCCAGGGGGCTATGGGAGCCCACAGAAGTTAATGGACAGTTTTCTAAAACATGAAGGAATGGCTGCCGAGAGACCCCTGGTAACCAGAAAAAATACTGACCTTTATTAGCTTTTAATGTACCCGACATTGGCTGAATACAGCATTTTTCCCTTTAACAGGAAGAATTCTCAGCTTCCACCTCTGGTGTGCAGAACCCCTCTAGTTTGCAGCCCAACCAGCCCAGTTGTGTTAGACCAGTTGCCCCCAATTTAGCTGGAGCTGTTGAGTTCGGTGATGTGAAGACCCTGCTCAAAGAATGGATAACTACTATCTCAGGTTGGTATGGCCCCATTCAAGAACACGAAGCAACAGCTCCAAAGTCTTAAGACTTTGGGGGTATAGTCAATTACAGATTTCTTAACTCTCCAAAAATACACTGAATCCTCATTAGAGGTTTTCCTTGTTTCTAGATCCAATGGAAGAAGACATCCTACAAGTTGTGAAATACTGCACTGACCTTATAGAGGAAAAAGACTTGGAAAAACTAGATCTAGTTATAAAATACATGAAAAGGTAATGTATGTCTAGAGATAGAGCAGTTTTTGTGTTTTTGTGCTTCCTGGATTAATTTTCTTGATGCTAAAAAAAAAATCGTTTTGAATTTTGTGTCCCTACCATAGAAGGAAATGTATGTTGACAGGGTAGTAAGTTAAAATGTAATAACCACTCCCCAAGGTTCTATCCAATATACAAGTTGAAATACTTCTAGTTTATCATCTTGAGAATCGGTTTTACCCAGTAGCTCTCCTACTCTCAGTCTCATGAGTGCCCAGATTGTAGGAGCCAGCCACACCCTGTCCAGTAACAACCAGCAAGCATGAAGCTATATGTCTGGAAGAAAAGACAATCAATGTATGTTGGAGGTTTTCCTATTTAATGGTGGTCTTCTCCTCTCCAGGCTGATGCAGCAGTCGGTGGAGTCAGTTTGGAACATGGCGTTTGACTTTATTCTTGACAATGTTCAGGTGGTTTTACAACAGACTTATGGAAGCACACTGAAAGTTACCTAAACCTTCCAGAGAGCCTGGTGCTCTCTGCCAGCAGTGCTTGTGAGGTATTTGCAAAGTGCATGATAGTGATGCTCTGAGTTTTTATAATTTTAAATTTCTTTTTAAGCAAGTGTTTTGTACATTTCTTTTCAAAAAGTGCCAAATTTGTCAGTATTGCATGTAAATAATTGTGTTACTTCTTTTACTTGTAGCATAGATTCTATTTACAAAACGTTTGTTTATAAAGTTTTATGGATTTTTACAGTGAAGTGTTTACAGTTGTTTAATAATAAAGAACTGTATGTATATTTTGTACAGGCTTTTTTTTGTGTGTGAATCCTTAAAAAAGAAAGAAAAAAACAGCTCTAGGAACTACAAAAAGCTATGACATCACTGAGGCACCCCAGCCAGGATATTACTGGTTTTTTTGAGCCAGGAAAACCAGTAAAATCCTGGCCTGAGATTTATTCCCCATCTCCACATATACAACCTTATGTCCTAGACAGTGTTGAGAAAACTGAATAGCTAAAATAGTTTGTTCAAATCTTCCTTCTCTCATGTATGTGTGTACACGTCAAATTCCATTGTAGCGAATGCAAGGACAACATCTATGTATAGTTATGAGACTGTTGTGAATAAATCACTGAGGCCTAACAATGTAGAAGCACTGACCTCCAATAACTTGCTGCCACTTTTCTTTAACAGAAGACAGAGGAATGTACTAAAACAAATGTCCCTCTTAGGGCATGTTCACAGGTGCTAAGGGTGAGAGCTCCACTAACACGGGAGCCTAGCAGAGCTTACTGAGCTGCAGTGTCTTGTCTTTATTGGCAGTTCAGAACTGTGATGATTACAAAGAATGCTCATGACTAGTAAAAGCAGCTAACTTGGTTGCACAAAAAGCAGATAAAGAAATGGCAGACAGCCATTTATCTTCTACTTAGAAAACTTGCTAAAGGGGCATATTGCAGAAGAATGCTGGGGATGGAAGTAGGGGCCCTAAATGGAAAGAATACCCATAAAGATATCTCTTACATCAAAAAAGTCCCAAGAATCACAAAATCTGTAGAAGCTTGGTTAATCAAATACTGTAGGACTGATTTAATCAGTATAAAATTGAAAGAGATTTAGATTTGTAATAAAAATCCAAATTTGAGGAAGGGCAAACTTTAAAACAGCAGCCAAGTCTGGAGGGGTGAGTGCAGGCACGCTGGACTGTGGGGCAGGGAACTGACCACTGTCAAACCAGTGTAAGTTGCTTGGTTTCTCATGGAAAACATTTTATACACTTATGTCCATCAGCGTCCAAATATGTCTGTTCCGTTGGTAATATCACAGCATAATATTACATTTACTCCAAATTCTGTCCCATGTGGGAAAATTAGATGATTTCAAATACTTTCTTCAGCTCCACAATAAGCTGCCAGTCACTCTTCTGCATTTCGTCTCTGAACCAGTCTTTGAGTGCATCGATGGACTGCCTGCTGATCTGCAATGGCCAAGGCACAAACAGGGTGAGCCAAAGGTAAGGTATGCCAATGAAAGTCAGTGGCCCCAGATGTCACAAGAAGCAGTGTTTTGCAGCCTGCTTTAGGGGGCAGAACCCACAACTGTGAGCTGTGGCTATGGAGTTCCTGGGGTTGTCAGTTGCACCAGAAGCACCCCTGATTTTCCCAAATCTATAAAAGGCACTTTTGCTAAAATACTTACCTTGCTCACAAGAATGTCCGTAGCTTCAAAATGTCTCCCAAACATTTTGGGAGATTCCCCAGGGATGGGTTCTATTTTGACACAGACCTCTTGTCCTTTTTTTGCAACATCCACCTGCCTGTGGTTTATTTCAATACTTGTTACTATCCCAATGTCAACAAACTACAAAAACAGAAAGATAATGTCAGATTCAGGCTCTCCAGAGGCTCCATGGCAGATAAATTTTTCACCCATCTATCCTGCCTCATGAGATGGCGGCAAAACCAGAAAGATCCTTCATGCTCTGAAGATTTACATGTGTGCTGGTCCAGTGTCACTTTGTGGTTCCGCTATAAACTCTCAGACTGGGAAAGAAAGGAATAGCATACACCAAAGGTGGAAGGCATGAGAGGAGTGTCTACAAGTGGAAAAGGATTCGATTTACAAAGCCACTAGCAAGTTCTTAATGCCACCACCTAGACAGGCACAGTACTAGATGAGCTTAGAAAATATGTCACTCCAAAGGCCACCATGTCAACGATAGCTAACACCATGACCAGTACCCATTTGCCAAATGCTAAGCATAATGAGTAACTACCACATGCTTCCAGGGCAGTAGGAGCTCTGTAGCAAAACTGGGAAGTGGAAGGAGAACATAGGTTTCTAATCATTTACATAAAAGTTCACTGGGTAAAAAAGTCACCAAGAAACAATGTTTACATGACCTGCATAGTGCAGGTGGGTAGAACCCCTTATAGGTTTGATTTCAGTAAGTCTATCTAGTGAGGGAACAGACAAAGTGAGTAAATTGGTAACACATTTGACCAGGACTCTTCAAGGGGGGGGGGGTAACTCTTGACTGCAATTCCAATATAAATCTGCCCAGGAATGGAGCAAGCAAACACATGAGAGATGAATGATGATTGCAAATGACGGATTATTGAAGCCAAGCTACCTAGGGGATAACACTGAGAGCCAGGGCTCAGAATAAACAGTTATAGAAGATTGGATACTTTGCTTGAAAATTTTGTTCCCAGTCGAGATAAGAACATTGATGTAGGCCTGCAACTTACATTTTTGCTTGGAACGCACATAGGTGTTCCTTGTTTCACTTGACCAGCCTCCACAGTGACGCCTATTACTATTGGATCTCGAGAATTGAAAATGTACTGAGGGAGGATTTTCATCTTGCAGGGAAATACTGCTATGTGCCTGAAAGTAAAGACAAAGCAAAAAAATCTCACAAAAACATTAAGCAGAAAGCAAATGTAGCTGACTATTAGATTTGTTAGATGAATGTACTTTCTGCAGAAGCTTGTCTCATTTTCTCAAAGTCACATCAAGGAACATTTGATGAAGATGAACATTTTGCCTGTCATATCCTGGAGTTTAGAACACAAGCAGAACTTGCTGACATGTCAAAACAGTAATCAACTTTAGAGAGCATGGAGTTATCCATCCATATGATATTTTCCAACATATCCCAAATGTTTTCCAAAAATCACATCCTGGAAGCACATTAGGCCAATTTAAGTCCTGAGCTACTGCACCCAGGGCAACTCTGGTAATCTCTTTCCTAGGAAATGGAAGCCTCCTGACAAGGCAACTGCCACTGACTCCCTAACCATCCAGGCCCATGTAAGTAGAGTATCTCCCAATATGATCATGACTACACATCTTAGCAGGAAAAATAAACCCAGAAAAAGCTCAATCTTTCCCATGATTTAGGAGGTTACTCCTATAACATAAGGACCATGTTACTTCTCCAACTTTCAAATTGCCATGTTCAAGTTACACACTGCCAGTGGAGCTTGGTTGCCTTAAGTGCTCTTCTGCCTGTGCATTCCAAACATTCCTGACTACTTAGTCTGCTTTAGACTGTTACTCCCAATAATCGGCCCAGAATGGATACCCAATCTCTGCATCTACTTCACAGCATTCATCTCTACTTGTACAATCGCTGATTGCCTCTCTATGACAGATACCCTGAAAGGCCCAAGGAAGCCTAGCTATGGCCCTGCAGACTCCTCAAGAAGCAGGGACACAACCAACTTGGAAAGTCTGTAGAGGAATGGCTTTGTCTCCCTTAGAATTGTTTGGCTTATTTCCCAGTTTATACATAGAATGCCTAAGACCACCAAGTTGAAAATTAATAAATGAAAAGGCCCCAGAGACGATCTGAACACACAGACAGACACAAACACACAAGGGGTGGGGGGGATATTTGCCCTGACTGCAATTCCTGAACTATAACACAACTTCAGGATGCAGCACTAGGGACATAAACAAATGCCATTCTTTTCTTGTCTGCATTCCTTGTCAGTATTTAGAAATCCTTCATAAGCTGCATTATTAGCAAAGATTCAAAGTAAAACACAAACTTACTTAAACTCTTCTTGTTTCTGTTTCTTGTAGTCTTGTCTGTATTTTGTAAAGGCATCGAATAAATGATAAATAATTTCTGCACTAAAGATTCTAACTCCCAAACTATCAGCCATCTCTTGCGCATCCCGTTCGATTCTTACATCAAAGGCCAAAATCACTGCATACCTGAAACATGGAAACATCAAGGATCACTCAATGAGAAGTAAAGTCACACCAGACACCCTGAAGACAATCAGAAGCAAAGAATACTTACTGCGGATCATGTTCCAACATCACTGAAGCCTTCATAACATCTTTTTTATGAACTGGGCCAATGTTAATTCCCGCATACTGTAAAAGAAGAGTTTCCACAAGTTTACCCGCATGCAGCAGATAATGGAACACATCATGAGGACCACATGCTTACAAACCTGGGAAGTTACTTACTGGCACCTCTGATGTTTTCAGAAATTCAAGAAGAGCTTCCAAAGAACCCAGTGTAGACGCCTGGACATAAACTCCTTTTTCTTCTAATTTGATAGCATTTAGTGTCTGCTTTAACTCATGGATCAATTCATCCTTGAAAAGAAATCACACATGACAAAGCACATCTCTAACTTCAGCAGCCTAGGATCAAACTGTTTCCTCTGGTTAATGACTCATCTGAAAACAAGGGCAGAAGGCATGCAGTCTGTTCTAAATGAGACAGTGCTAGGTTATGGCCATACAGTCTATCATACCCATTCCATCTCTCTGCTTTAAGCTAATAGGAAGACTGTTAAAATCTCAACAGCACTGAGTAAAGAGAGCAGATGACTGGGAAGAGTGTCATCCTTTTGAGAACCAAACAGATAAGTGGGAGCCCCAAAGTTCAGTTGTTTCAATTGTGATCACCTAACTCATTACTTCTCTAAAGATAAATCACTCCACACTCAGGCCTGATGTATTCTTTAATGATGTGACTTGTTTCTGCCTAAATTTTAAAGGTGGTCTACAGAAATGTATACCTAGCAAGCTACATACTTACAACAGTTCTATTTTCTTGTTGGCAAGCAAATAAGCTATGACTACAGCATGCTGTTCATTGGATATGGGCCAATTGATCTTCCCATTAGACAAACAGGCTTTAAAATACTACTAGTATTACAATACTTAAAAACAGTCAAAGCCAGGATAGGCTCCAAAGCTACACAGAGAAACCCTGTCTCGAAATTTTTAAAAAGACAAAGTCAATGCTACATCTCCAGCACATAGAAAG